GTGACCTACTAATGTTTTTTTTTTAATAGCTGTATTAAAATATCTTCATTCCTAATTGGCTAAGAATCATTAAACTTTTTATCAGTTGATGCAACTTAAGTTTTAGGATAATTAGGGTTAGAGGCTTCAAATACAAGTGATAGGTTGTACAATTTATCAGAAGAGCGATTCAAGGCCCTTGGACCTCTTGTATGGCTATATTAAATTATCTCCGGTACTTATTGGCTTAGAATCATCAAAATTTTTAATTTGATGCATCTTGGGTTTTCAGAGAATGTTGACCAAAAAGTAGGTCACGGTGACCTACTTTTGAATATCTCAGGTATTAATTGGCTTAGAATCATCAAACTTTGTCAGTTGATGCATCTTGGGTTTTCCAAGAATGTAGACCAAAAAGTAGGTCAAGGTGACCTACTTTTGAATATCTCAAATACATATTGGCTTAGAATCTTCAATCTTAGTTTGTCTATTAATGCATCTTGAGTCCTCAGAAAACTTCAATCTTAAAGTAGGTCACCGTGACCTACTGATGGTTTTTTTTATAGCTTTATTAAAATATCTTCATTCCTAATTGGCTATGAATTATCAAACTTTTTATCAGTTGATGCAACTTAGGTTTTAGGATACATAGGGTTAGAGGCTTCAAATACAAGTGATAGGTTGTACAATTTATCAGAAGAGCGATTCAAGGCCCTTGGGCCTCTTGTTAAATAATTTCATTACTCTTCTACAAGATGGTAAATTAATTGTTAGCTATAGAAATTAATTTAATGATTAATAAGCTTTAAAAACATCAACAACTACTTGTTTGTAATTGATCCATACACCCGCATAATTATAAAGACAGTCTACATCCCGGATATATATTAAGGTGGAATGCCACACCAATTTTTTATTGAGTTGGCTCGCGTAGCGAGCTACTCCCTGTCGACATAGCCGTTTCAGAGCTGTAAATTTTTTCACGCATTCATCAAGGTGATCCATACGCCAAATATAACAGTTCTAGCAAAAAATGCTTTGGTTTGAGTGATTGAATAAACTTAAGAGGTAAAAACTGTATAAAATTTCATACTGTAACATTATTTATGCCTTCATGCTTTTAAAGAAATTTTTGATTAAGTACCTGAAAGATGTACAATTACTGCGTATGAATGTATGTTCAAGCATGTTAGGCGGATCTAATCTTCCCATCTGAAGTTTATTTATAATTGACCTAGAATACTCCCTAACACAAACATCTGCTGCTCTCATTAGCTGCAGCTAGTTGTTGTTGAAAATCTATTTTTAGAATCCAGATTTGCTGTGGGAATCTTTAACCTAATTATTCCATAACACTGACCACTTCAGCTAGTGTGCTGAAATTCATTATAGAATCCAGTCAAAATAATACGGAAGCCCATTAGTGCCAACCTGTATATATAAAGGAAAAGCAATATACACTTTATTTATGAACCGAACATGGATCAGACATATAATATTCAATCTCTTAAGATGCAAAATAAACTGAATATATTAAGGTATGGTGCCCAGATGTATGAAAAAGCTCAATTGACTCGAGCGAGTCAACTCGCAGGCCTTTAATTTTATAGATCTTTGAGCCCTCCTTTTTAAACAATGGTTTCAGCATTGAAAGGCCGATATTAGCTCTTAATTATTTTATATGAATTTTTTTGTATTTTTTCAAAGAAAATGAAAAAAATTATTTACATCCAAATTAGATGGTTTCTTGTAAAAATTTTGCTGTAAATGAATGCATCACATGAATACCTAATAAAATATGTAAAGAAAGTCTGGTTAGACTTTTTAATTTTTTTTACAAAAAATTATTTATGAAAATAAAACACATTATTTGTGAATATTTTTTAAACCTATGGTTAAAAACACCATAAAACTAGTCACAACTAAGGGGAACATGTTTGTCAATCATATTTTTAAAAGAAATTGAAACGAAATTGAGAAATTTTAGAGAAATTAATTTTTTTAATATTTGGACCTAACCCGATCAAAATTAAACTGATCCCGATCAAAATTAACACAAAATGAATAAAATGCTAATTTATTGCCTCTTCATGTATTACAATGAAGAAATCTATTTTATTGTCAAGTTCTGTAATGTTTTAACCCTTATAACACCTAATCAGACTAGCGTTCTCAGGAAAATGTTATTCATTTCCAATAATTGTACAATTATGGTCGGGATCGGTTTAATTTTGATCGGGTTTGGCCAAAATTAAAAAAAAATTATTTCTCTAAAATTTAGCTATTTCGTTTCAATTTCTTTTATAAATATGATTAATGATCATGTTCTCCCCAGTTGTGGCTGGTTTTTAGAAGATTTTAACCACAAATTTAAAAAATATTCACAAATAATGTGTTTTGTTTTCATAAATAATTTTTTATTAAAAAAATTAAAAAGTCTACCCAGACTTTCTTTACATATTTTATTAGGTATTCATGTGATGCATTCATTTACAGCAAAATTTTTACAAGAAACCATCTAATTTGGATGTAAATAATTTTTTTCATTTTCTTTGAAAAAATACAAAAAAATTCATATAAAATAATTAAGGGCTAATATCGGCCTTTCAATGCTAAAACCATTGTTTAAAAAGGTTGACTCAGAGATCTATGAAATAAAAAGTTGGTGTGGCATTCCTCCTTAATTATGTGTTTGTACAGAAAGACAATTTGAAATAGATTTAAAGAATTATTCACTGTATGTTGAATTCGCAGGATTTCTTTTTCCGCAAATATAGCGAATGTAAACTCCGCAAGTTAATTTCCTGCTGTACAGTAACATAAGATTTACAGCATAAGATGTTAGTGATATATTAGTATATTCTTCACCCCTGTTACAATTATTTATTCAGTTTTTGACCAAGGAAATGGATCATACATATCTGACAATGATGCAGACAAGATAAAGAGAAACTGCTTTTTGTGCTCTTCCTAACTTTTAGGACATATTGCAAAATTTATTGCACCCCTTGTATAACCTCTGTCCATGGACTTCAATCATTGAATGTTTGCATTCTTGGTGTTAAGATTGGAATTCAAATATGAATAGGCTACTACCTTTTTTACTTGCTCAGACAACCAGCTATAACCACAGCCTGAGTTAAAATTAAGAGCCATTCTCTGTAATGATTTGAAATTTTATATAGGAGCTGTGGCACGCATAGTCTCAGAATTTCTCCAAACTCTCTATGATAAAAGTCATTGACACCCTAAACTGAAATCAGGCAAAAATTGGTTGCTATGTTTTATAGTTACCATGGCAACATGTCTTAAAGGTTGAAAAATGGCATTTTTTAACATGTTTAGAGCCCCATAGTTAACATTTGCGGCAAAGCAAACAATTGGCAATGACTGTTTCTGAAAGTTCAAGGTCAGATGTCTCAGATGCATGATAAACATGTTTGGTAAATCAACTATTACACACGTTACTATGGTAACAAAGTATCCAAAAGTAAAAAAAAATATTCATTGAATTTTATAAAGTCATACACGTAAAAATAAAAAGCAATTATAGGATGAAATGCGACCAAATAATAGAAAAAAGAGCCTTGAAACATATACCAAGAACAAAATATGATATTTTACTTTGGTTGGCAATGGTTGCCAAGGTTTTTATACCACAGAGAGCCTTCAAAGTAACACTCTGTATGTTTAAATCTGATCCTCTCTTTTAAAAAAAGCACATTTCCTCATAACTAATGATCAATTTTATAAGATGTTGGTGTGCTCCAAGTTTTCCCATTTGAAAAAAATCAGATTAGATTCTTTAAATAGAGCGTTGCTATGGAAATAAGCAGAAAATATATGCTTAAAAACCTGAAAAATATTTTCTTTCCTTGGATACGTACCCTTAAATGTAGATTCCCAAAACTTTTATGATTGATATTTATTAACAGATAACTTGACTTGTAATTTTGACTATCATCCAATCTCTAAGTGGATGCAAGAAGTTGGCACACAGGGTTTAATATTGATATAAAGTTCACAAAATCGAATATTTTCCCTTCTTGGTAACCATAGCAACAGTGTTGTTTTATTCATCAAATTTTATCAATATATGATATTCAACTTCATTTCTAACAGATAAGTACTATTCAAGCTGAGTCCATTAATTTGTTTCTTGATTAAATGGCAATTTAATTCTTAATTCAGTGAATAATAATTCACTTTTAAGCACTGGTACGTTGTTTCCATGGTAACACTGCAAAGTAGCAATTATGCCCAATTTTTTTTATGGTTTTGGTGTTGCAAGGTATTAAGGATGCATATTTGCCAGTCTTGAATTTTCATGTTTTTCCTCAAGACAGTAGCATAAACCCAATCTTGGTTACTTGTTTTGCATGGTTACACTGTGTTACCATGGCAACCATAAAAGTTATTTATAGAATAATATTGCTTATACTTATATACTTAAGGTCAAACATTTTCATTGTTTTTCTTAAGTCGTTGATTGAGTTTAAGCATGTAACACCTACCATTAGTGAATACGGAGTGTTTTTCAGCATATTTCAGCATTTTAAATGTATTCCAAATGTACCCTTGGTTACCACTTACTTAGAGATATATTCTAAACAGTTTCTTTACAGTATAAGTAACATCAAGGTGTCATGTTTTTGTGAGAATGGTTTGTTTGCTTTTTCTAGTTTTTATTAAGACACAGTCAAGATTTAAAGTGGCTGAAAATCTCGATTTTTCAAACTTTTCCGACTGTTGCCATAGCAACCGAGACACATAGCAACGAAATTTTGTTTGATATTTGTTTCTGGTGTCAAGCACTAAGCATGGGTGAAGTTTCATCAAAATTGGTGACCATGCGTGGCAATGAAGTTTAAGTGGTTACAGAGAATGGCTATTAAACAGTATAGAACATTCTAGGGTCTGTTCTACCATGGAGTTTTCTCTGACCATTCTTGTCAAATATTATGATTCAACATCATTGTATAGCAGTTGAAATAATTTCTGACTATTTGTTGTATAAACAGACCAGTGGTCCCAGCCCCCCTCAGAAGATTGGTCAGTGTGAGTATTCCTTTGTGTGGGAGACAGAGACGGCCTGTCCTGTAGCTGACACAGATACTGAGAATGACAACTGTACCATCAGGGACCGTAACTCTAACTACACATTCAACCTGTCCCCATTAAAACAGAGAGGAGAGAAAGATTACTATGAAGTGAATGCAACAGGGACCGACAAAATTAGGGTTAGTTTACTTCTACCAAGTGGTTGTCATTTAAGATGAAACACTGTGTTTTAACTACATGTATTAATGATTATATTAAAGATTAACAAATCATTAAATGGTAAAAACAAACACATACAAAAACAAATACATTTATTTGACAATAATGAGCAACAAGTTTTATGTATTAAAATGTATTATTTATGATAGATCGTTTCAAAACTTTCTTTCACATACTTTAAATGTAAAGACAAGAGCGGAGTCCTGATATATTTTTGCTTTAAATTAAAAAAAATTATACCGCTATGTTCATTTGAGAAAAAAAATATTTCAGAAGCCACTATTGCGTTGAAAGTATATTGAATTCAATGCCCTTAAAATTTTTGTATGTAGTTGATTAATTTTAACACATTTTCTATAAAAGGAAAAGAAAAGAAACAAATATAAATTATACATTACCGTGTAATTTCCTTTTGTTGTTCCTTTTTTTAGGTCACCTGAGTAAACTCAGGTGACCTATTGCTATCCGTTTTCGTCCGTCGTGCGTTAACTTTTGAACATTTTCAGCTTCTTATCTGCAACAATGAACCAATTTCAACCAAATTTGGCACAAAGCATCTGTTGGTGAAGGGGAACAAAAATTGTGAATTTCATGTTCTCTGCCCCCCTGGGGCCTGAGGGGTGGGGCCAAAACCACTAAAATTAATGCAATCTTTAAAAATCTTCTTCTTTACTCCTGGACATCAAGCAGTCAAACTGTTTGCATGATTGTAATCAGCAATGAGTTTTCTACCAAAATTGTGAAATTCATGGCCCTGGGGTCAGGGGTTCTAGTGCTAGGGCGGGGCTAAATAAGTAGGTAGTGAAAAAGCAATATTTCTTTGAAAATCTTCTTCTCTGCTCCTGGGTATGAAATAAACCAACTAAGTACATAGTTATGATGAGCAAGAGTGCCTCTACCAAAATTGTGAAATTCATGGCCCTGGGGTCAGGGGTTCTGGTGTTAGGGCGGGGCTCTATAGATTATATAATGAAAATACATGAATTCTTTGAAAATCTTCTTCTCTGCTCCTGGCCCCGGGATCATGAAACAGACTCAGACTTAAGTCAAAATTTCAATTATCTATAAAATTTTTAAAACCTGTTAATGGAAACTAATAATTTGCATACAACAGCAGACTGATGACACAAAAACGGAAGGCATTTTCATTTTGGGCTGCTTGACCTCTAAAAAAATTCAGCATCTAAGGTATTTTTTGACTTAAGCTTAAGGTGCTTCATGATCCCGGGGCCTGGGGATTAAATAAACTAACTAAGTACATAGTTATGATGTGCAAGAGTGCCTCTACCAAAATTGTGAATTTTATGGCCCCAGGGTCAGGGGTTCTTGTTTTAAGGTGGGGCTCTAATGATTAAATAGTGAAATGTATGTATTCTTTGAACATCTTTTGCTTTGCTCCTGGTTAATATACTAATGATCTAATTACATATTTAAGGGCAGTATTTATTTTATTTTCAGTTTTACAAACCCTCCGCTCAAGGTTTTGAATTTTCAGAAAAAAATAAAACAATTTTTTTCTTTCCGATGTCAAATTTGAGTCGGGATTGATATTTCAAATTAACGAACTCGCACTTCCGGTTTTAAGATGAAACGGCGGGTAAATAAAGCTAGATCTGAGAAGATAACTTGGTTTAGGCCTAGTGTAAAATTCATCGATACGAGTGTCATTCAAACCATTTCACCCGTTCAAAGGACAAATAAAATGCTGATGACTTTGTTGCACAATGACATGCTGGTGAGATAATTATGTATTCATTTCAAAAGTATCTGTCTGTTAATTATTTTCGTCCCCCAGGTTTTAAACTGCCTGTGGTAGCTATTGCATATTGCCAGCGACATTGTTTAGGTCTCTGTTATAGCTTACAGTCTAAGCATCATTCTTCAGAAAAGGGTTGCTTATGCATCAGATGTAATGAATAAAACTATGGGAGAAGTTAAGTCCATTTGAGGAAGAAATAAACAATAACCTGAAGAAATAAAATAAAAAATTCAACTATTAAAAGGCAAGAATATACAAATTTAATTGAAGAAATGTTCGCCCTATTCCCCAATACTCCCTGTCTGTTTTATGATAGGAATTATAATTTTAGGCAACAAGTAAATTTTAGAACAATGTATATACATTTACCTAACACATATTTAAAAAATGAAGATATATTGAAAGACTTTTAAAGAATTGATTTTTATGCGCCCAGATCGATAGATCCCGGGCGTATATTGTTTTTGTCCTGTCTGTTTGTCTGTCTTTCTGTCTGTTGTCAACTTTAACCTTCTCCATAACTTTTGAGTCATAACAGATAGAGACTTAATATTTGGTATGCATACTCCACTAATAAAGTCCTTTCAAATGACATCAAGGTCAATGACCTTGTGACCTTGACTGTGACCTATATGCTGAAAATAGCTTTTTCCACTGTTTGTCATAACTTTTGAACCATAGGAGATAGGGACGTCATATTTGGTATACTTACTCCACTAATAAAGTTCTCTCAAATGACGACAAGGTCAATGATCTTGTGACCTTAACTGTGACCTATATGCTAAAAATAGCCTTTTCCATTGTTTGTCATAACTTTTGAACCATAGGAGATAAGGACTTCATATTGGTATGCTTACTCCTCTAATAAAGTCCTTTTAAATGACAACAAGTTCAATGATCTTGTGACCTTGACTGTGACCTTTATGCTAAAAATAGCTTTTCACACTTTTTGCCATAACTTTTGAACCATAGGAGATAGGGACTTCATATTTGGAATGCATACTTCACCAATTGAGTTCTTTCAAATGACACCAAGGTCAATGACCTTGTGACTTTGATTGTGACCAATATGCTAAAATAGATTTTTTGAACTTTGTTGCTGCCGGGCGCATAGTGTTTCACAAACACATCTTGTTTAAAATATATTTTGACCAACATCACAAAATTTATATAACTGGCCCAAACTGGCAGATGAAGAAATAATCAATTAAATGTTCTACTTTCCTATTTGTAAGCATTATGTGTCCAGTGGTAAGGAGCCTATTAGAATAGCATAAAAAAAGAATGTACAAATGTTAATAATTGATTTATCAAAAAAAAATTTTTTATTTCCTTCTCCTTCGGGACTTTTTTATTCTCATTTCATAACTAAACCTAAACATAAAAAAATGCTGGCCTTATAATGAAGAAAGGGGCCTCTTTCAAAATAGATAATTTCAGGGCCGCTGGGTCAGGGGTACCAGGGGGGTACTTTGACTAAAATAAATTAATGCTTTGAAATCTGCCCTTTGATAAGCAATGGTGCCTCCTTCAAAATTTGTGAATTTCATGGCTTTGGATTAAAACACGAACCAAATACAATCGCTGGAAAGTTGTTACATGATACTCAGGTGACCTATAAGGCCCGTGGGCCTCTTGTTTTTGTTTTTACTCCTAAAATATCACAAGCATAATTAATTCAATAACAAAATACTAATACAATTTAACATCCTGACCCATCGATAGCCATATTTAAGATGAAATGACTTCCAAATGAATCTTACACAATTCTTGCACAAAATTCACACGTTTCTCACACCGTTCTTACACGAAAGTCGCATGTTTCTCACATGCTTTTCGCACGCTCGCTACACGGTTTGCATGAAACGCTTTGGAGCTTACACGAAACGCTGCACGGTTTACATAAAACGCTACACGGTTTGCACGAAACGCTGCACGGTTTACACGAAACGCTACATGGTTTGCACGAAACGGAAAGCGCACGAAAATCACACGCTTTTTTGGGGTAGTAGCACGTCTCAGGGTCTGTACATAAAAATATTCAAAAAATGAACTCATTTGTCAATATTTTTTAATCTAAAAATTCAATGGAATATGGGCCTACACTGTAGATAATATTTTACAAGTAGAATCATCACATACAATTTATTTGTTATTGCTGCGGATTGGACAGCAGTGATGAGCACTCTTGGAATACAATGTAAACTTGCCTGTAGACATGATTGATATGCTGTTTACGCTCTGTTACAGTTGAATCTTTGTGGCAGTATTAACACCAGTCACTGTGCTCCAGTAGAGGGAGCTAAATCAGCTGCCTGCCTGGTAAAAAACCCTGGATCCACCCAGGGACTGGCTACTGTCAGCCACACTCTGGACTACTCAGAGGACGGACGACTCATGATGACCTTTGATGGGGTCAGACAGGATAATGGTGGGTGAATTATAGTAATAATTTAAACTATAAGGTAGGAGAATCATTGCATCTAGAATTTCCATAAGGCCATAATGGCATAAACTCAATATATCTGTAAATGTTACAGGACAAAGAACACAGGTGATCATTCTGTTCCTGTGCCGACAGAATATCCCGTTGGGGGCCCCTGAATTTGTGCGTAAGGAGGAGAATTCTTACTACTTTGACTTTAAGACTTCGCTGGCGTGCCGACCTCAGCCTGTGGACTGCTTAGTTCAGGACCAGAGAGGAAATCAGTATGATTTATCCCCCCTGGCCAGGGCTGGCTCTAACTGGCAGGTGCTGGATACAAGGCCCCACTACTCAGACCTAACATATTACATCAATGTCTGTCGACCCATCAACACTATAGCAGGATCTACATGTCCTGGTAGGTACTGAGCTCAAAAATCAACCAATCTAATTCAATCATTATCTGTTTATACTAGGGATGTCAAATCGGTCAATTTTTAATACTCGGTTACTCGGACGATTTTCCGATCGAGTACCCGGGTACTCGGTAAAAGTGTAAATAAATATGAACAAGTAAATTAATGAATGTAAAACATTGTAAACACTTGTAGAAACCACATGCTCTGATAGGAGGTTTACACGTAAATTATGCATTTCTGTTGTAACAATGATTAGAACTTCGTGCCCGACAAAATTTAATACAACATTTTTTTAAGTTCAATTCATTTATCACATGTATCAGCTAAACACAATAAATAAAATCGTAAGTGGTTCATGGTGTTTTTGTTTTAAAAAAATAATCTTCTTCGTAATTGTAATGTAACTCTTTGACTTTGTTGCATTTGACGTCAAGGTACATTGTATATATCAGTCGTACAGTTTGACTTGAACTTGACCAAGTTCTAACAGAGCCGATTTACGATTTTCGCATACTTTTCGATCCTATATTTTATAGTATCACGGGATGGTATTTTGTAGTTTGGTGCAATGATGGACACAATTTTTTAAAGCCTTTGCCGTCAACTATTTGTACATGTATTGGCATGTAATGAAACACAACCATATCAACAGTCGCACATGTAATATCATCTGTCTCTATTCCCGAGAAATTACGGCTTCTCAGAGAATTGATTAAATTCTCTAATTTATTTAATCATAACAGACCTTAAAAGATGTTCAGTGAAAACAAATAATTAATTAAAGAAAATCAAAAAATCAGGGTTGAAGACAGTCGAAGGTGAGAAAAGCCAGGTAACAGGCGCTTGGTCATGATAATTACAGACTGTATAAACACTGCCACGGGCGATAACGGTCATTTAGAGGAGTAGGAAACCCTAATTACTGTATGTACAAGTGCAATGAGTATTTTACCTTTTAAAACAGATTGTTTAATTCGTCAATAAATAAGCTTAGAAATATTCAAAAATATACATCCGAGTAACTGAGTACCGATTTTAGTATTCGATACTCGGACGTTTGATCGAGTACCCGGTTAACCGGGTACTCGTTGACATCCCTAGTTTATACATCTTGTAAGGGTGTTTATTATATAATATAACACTGTTGATTTGTCGAAGATAGAAAACTTGAAAGTCGTTGCAGATAGATCTCAAACTGACAAATTGCAAATAAAATTCCTGTGAATATCATTTTGAACTCTTTCTAGATAGACATGCATTGGAAGACAAATTTTGTTTTAAATTAAACAGGGTGTTGGACTGTATGGTATTAAGAACAAAGAGAATTTTGAAATAGAAATAAAAATTTGAACAAGTTTAAGATACATTGTCTTGTACACTTTATGAGGGGTAAGAAATCTGCAATTATCTAAAAAAAAAAAAAACTGCTCTTTTAATTTTAAATGGATCTAAATCATGTCTCTTGGCATACAGGTGGTCCTGTTGGGGGGTGTCAGGTGTCCAAGTCTGGGCGGGCGTACAACATGGGATACATCCAGTCCCAGCCTGTGGTGACGGGGAATGGCACCCTGACCCTTAGGTACGCGGGGGGTGACCGATGTCACAAAGGTCAATCCACCGAGTCCTCACGCAGCACCAGGATCAACTTCTTCTGCTCCCCATCAGAGGTCAGAGGTCACACATGTCTCTTAAAAGTGTATCCTCTTCAATAGATATAAGGAGTCAATACTTCTTACTGATCAGGATACATATATATAAATATGTCTCAAATTGAGAAATATTTGTTTCAAACAAATACATTTCTTTTCATCCTCTTTATCAAAACAAGAAAAAATATTTCTTGCATGAAAAAATACTATTGAATCAAATGTGTAAATGTGTAACTAAAAAATGAGAACACTTGTCCATTATTTCTCTCACAGCATAGCCCTAGCTTTGAGGGGGAGACCGACACATGTGAGTACATTTTCAACTGGCAGACACCAGCAGCTTGTAATGTACAGGTAATTAATCATACTGCTGATAGATTTATTATCTGACATGCAATTTCAATTAAGTACATGCATAAAAATTGTCAAAAAATGGTAAATCTCCATAAGCAATTGGATACTTTATTTTTGTCATTACAGATCATCTTTTCAGCTAATCATATATTGCTTTCATGCTATATTTAAAAAACTAAAGAAGTCATCTGGAATTATAAAATAAATGACTTGTTATTTTTATAACCCAGAAGGACAGAGCCTTAGTTAACTTATGTCAAAGGTCACTTCCTGTCCCTCCTCTAGGTCCACATTACCAAATCAACCAAACTTGGAACAAAGCATTCTTACATTTCAGAATACAATACTGTTTTCTCTTCAAGGGAAACGTAGATTTGTTCGTAAAAACTATAACCCCTTTGCTGACCAACTTTGCATCAAGATACAATAATTATTATTGATCCATACTACTCAAATTAATTCAGATGTTTATGCTGAATTGAATTTTCTGCATGATTGACCAGATTAAAAATTAAGGAGTAGATTCATTTCAGTAGAACTTCCAGCCTAATCCAAACCTGTACAGTTGATGTCTCAAGAGATGAACACTCTCTAACTTGCTTCAGATGCTGGAATTGACACATTTTCAGAATAAGTGACCTGATTATTATTTTGGAGAAGGTTTATTCCTGTAGCCCTATCTGCACCAATCTTGCATGGATTTTGCATTTAGGGATTTACACTATCAAACTTGATTCAGATGCTTTAAAGATAATGTAAATTTTATGACTTATTTTACATGATTGTATGTTTTCTCATTTTAGTGAACATTTTTAAATTATTTGTCCTGAGGCCATTCATTGTGTGTCTAATGTTCTACTTTGTGTGTTGTTTTCTGGTTTGACAGAGGATTGTGGGTGAGAACTGCTCGGTATCAGAACATGTGTATGGTTACACGTTTGACTTGACTGGTCTCAGGAGAACAAGCAGTAACTACAAGGTGAAGGCTGGAGATTACTTGTACGAGCTGAATGTGTGTGGACCGCTGATCAAGTCCTCTAAGTGTACCGATTCCACCATAGCTTCCTGTCAGACAAAGCCCGCAGACAGTGGATTTAATCGAGATGCAGGTAATGTAAAGGTCATTGAGGAGTTACTAAAGATAAGTAATGTAAAGGTCATTGAGGAGTTACTAAAGATAAGTAATGTAAAGGTCATTGAGGAGTTACTAAAGATAAGTAATGTAAAGGTCATTGAGGAGTTACTAAAGATAAGTAATATAAAGGTCAATGGGAAGTTACTAAAGATAAGTAATATAAAGGTCATTGGGAAGTTACTCAAAATAGGTAATATACTGACACACAAAAGAAACGCAACAAGCAGTAATCTACAAATGTTTAATTTTTTTATCTAATGATTTTCAAAAATGAATACAGTAAGGCTAAACTCACCTTTCAGAACATCAGAGATTTGATAAAAATGTTGAATGTTTATCTTTTTACTTTATTAAGTAACATATGACTGTTAAAACACCCCCTCCCAGCCATTCAAGTAAAACGTGCCCTAAACAACCATTGCAGCTTAAATTCTATGATACAATAGGTTCATCAATATCAATATCTGAGTGAAGGAATAATTCTTTGCCATTTTTAAATGCCCGTTTTTCATATGATTAGGTCAAATTTTCTCTAACGTAGAGCAGTGTAGCCACCCTTGGACTTCCGGTACAAGGACTGTCCTTTAATGAATATGATACGCAAGACCCCGTTGAGGCGTAATGTTGTGAATTTTTGCATTAGCAACTCTCCATCACCTTTATAATGAAATTTTCCAGCTAGAGCAATGGAAATGCGTACTTAAGCCATTTTCAAGAAGCCTTAGCATCGTTACGGGAAACAAAAGGAGAGTTTATTTTTTGAAATATTGCTGTTTTACTTATGATGAATAGTTAAAACCCTTATAACTCCATAATATTGCCAAATGTTTTGTTAAACATGCAATTTTTGATTTCTGTTAAGCAAACTCAAACTTGACTTCCGGTTATGATATGAAAATCATTCAACCGTTAAATTGTCGATGTTTACTAAATTGAAGATATCCATAATTTTATGATACAAAATTTTTACTTTACATAATTATTTCCCTCTAAAGTAGGAAGTTGCGTTTCTTTTGCGTGTCAGTATATAAAATTCATTGGGAAGTTACTAAAGATAGATAATATAAAGGCATTGGGAAGTTACTAAAGATAAGTAATATCAAGGTCATTGGGAAGTTACTAAAAATAGGTAATATAAAATTCATTGGGAAGTTACTAAAAATAGGTAATATAAAATTCATTGGGAAGTTACTAAAGATAGGTAATATAAAGGCATTGGGAAGTTACTAAAGATAGGTAATATAAAGTTACTAGGTATAGATGATCAAGGATAGGTAATATAAAGGTCACTGGGACATTACTAAAGATAGGTAATATAAAATTACTAGGTGTAGATAATGTAAAGATCATAGTGGAGTGACCAATTATAGGTAATATTAAGGTCTTTGGGAATATAAAAAGTATAGATTATATACAGATCATAATGGAGTTGCCAAAGATAGCAGACTTGTCGAAATTTTTTAATCCCTGTCAGACATTTGGTCTGACAAAGTCAAATGTTCTGTCGGACCAGTCAAACTTTTGTCAGACCAGATGGTTGCACCTTATTTGACGCTGAGAAAGTCAAATGATTAACAGCACCAAATGCCCCTTATTATTTTCAATAGCCTTCAATCTAACAAGTTTCCTTTCTTGGGATAGAGAGTCTTTAACATAGACATAAATGACATGTTTTATGGCTTTGTCATAACAAATTTACTTGGCTGTTGTCAACATGCCGCGTATGCAGCCATTTTTTCTGTGTCTGTGACCTTTAACTACGCATCCCGATCTGGACCTTTATTAAATTTGCATTACGCTCAAGTATTTTTCAAAAATTCATCTGGACAGATGTTTTCTTAAATGTTATCGGTCCAGACAAATTTTTACCGGCCTTGCCGACAGGACTGACAGATTTTGACAAGTCTGAGATAGGTAATAAAAAGGTCATAGTAGATTTACCAAGGATGGGTGATATATGTATTAAGGTCATTGGGAAGTTACCAGATAAAGGGATTTTATTTTTGTAGGTCATAAGTAGAATAGAATTTGTACAAATAGACTACAAGACAAGATAGGATAAAAATATACTGAAAACGTATTATATTTGGCTGTGTATTCTTTCTAGAGGCTTTGGCTGATCGCAGCAACCGCTAAATCAAGTACATAGCTAAATGTCTTGCACATATACACATAAATAAGAATATGAAGAAAATGCTAAATCAAATCTACACTAACTTATTCAAAAGTCAATTTCTGCCAAATATCATACATGCTAAATATAATACATTTACAATATGTAGATACAGTATTAAGTTACTGTCATCAGCTATCAGTTATAAGTTAGGTGACTTGTATTATGGTTATACAAGTATATACAGTAAAACTCGTTTAGAACGAACACAGATATTGCGAATTTACGGATATAGGGAAGTCATCTTAGATCCCCAGCCATATATATTTAATGATTTTCTTATACGGTTATAACGAATTACAGATATAACGAAGTAATTTCATAGGTCCCAGCGACTTTGTTATAACAGTGTTTTGCTGTATTTTAAAGGAACAGTCATACAATATGTCACAAGTAATATACCATTTATCTATATTCATTTGGCTTGTGGTCATTGTATGTGCAGGGTAAAGGGATACCAACAAAACATGGGATTTGATTTAAATTGTATGATTTCCTATAGGACATAAGTTATTAGCTTTAGATTTGCTGCCTCTTATTCCATTAGGCCACAGCAGTAGTAGATTGGTGTACAACATAGGGGAGATAACTCTAACCTACAAGTCTGGACAACTCTGTCATGGCAAGTACAATCGCAGCACAGTGATAACATTTGTGTGTGATCAGTCAAAGTCAGGCCAGGATGGACCCAGCTTTCTGAACGAAACAGAGGACTGTACCTACCAGTTTGTTTGGCCCACCTCCAAGGCCTGTACCCCATTTAAAGTGGGAGATTGTGGGGTGAGGGGCCCTAATGGGGTGCAGTATGACCTCTCCAGCCTCTCCCTGAATGATGATAACTACCAGACAATAGACCACATGGCCAGGAAAAAGTACATCTTTAATGTGTGTCGCTCACTTATTCATCAGAGAGGTAGGATTTTTATTTTTAACAAAAACTTCATTTTTTGTTTAATATCTGTTGAGTCAAAATTTTTTATTACTCTGCATGTTAAGTGATATATCCTTTAGGATGTAATGGGATGAAGTGCTTTCTTTTTTACAGATTTGTTGTCAAGGTTAAGTTTTAAACTATAATCTTGTTAATTGTTATGATACTTTTCTTCCTGTAGGAGAGACTTGTCCTTTTAATTCTGCTGCCTGCATTGTTGATCTCAGTGAAAAAGATCCAAAGTAAGTTATACCTTATTTCTACCTGATGACAATCTGAATCACTCAAACAACCTGTCCATTTCCATCTGTTGTGCGAGTGTGCTTTAACCAAAATTGTTTTTCCCAGATTGTTCATTGTATATAAATAATGGGAAATGAGAATCCTGGGGCGCGTTTTACAAAAGGACTTACGACTTAAGACCAAGTTTAATTATTGATATAACTTTTTAATTAACCTTATATAGAAAATTATTTTAAACTTTTTAAAAATAATGTGGTAAGATATTTTTACATAGACATTTTCATACATGCCAACTTTCCCGATTTAGGCGGGATCCTCCCGATTTTACCCTTTCATCCCGCCTTCCCGATCGGGAAAGAAAAATTGGCCTCATTTCCCGATTTGAAAAAAAGATCACCAAAATTCCCGATTTTAAAAGTTTCCCTACCGCTGAATTTTGACAATCGGGATAACAATGTCAGACTTGTTTATTCAATGCATATAAGTCTCCATGTTTATCTAACCAGGTGTTAATTAGGCCTATGGCCACAGGAAATCACTTCACGCTTGAACGCACGTGCAGTTGTCCAGGTACAAGTAGCTTATAGCTTGGGGCAATTAGGGGATTATCTTGTCAGTTTTAAGGGGTATGTAAGATGAAACGCATAGATTAACCTGATAATAGTCAGTCATTTTATTAAAAACATAAATTAAAGACAATAAAATACTAATCAAACCATAAAATCGGAATCCAAAGAGATCGTTTTTGAAAACGAAAGTAGAAAACTACAAAGCATAGCTGCTGATTTAATCTATACCTATAATGAAAAATATTGTAAAGTTTGCCAATTAATTAAAATATTCTGAAAAAGATTAATATGAAACAATCAAGTGTATGTCAGTTAGAATTTCTTTTCCCTCCCTTTTCCCAAAAGTAATATGTTAGGTTTGTGCATGACTTAAGGAAATACCCACATGGCACCATCTAGCCTGACAAATTTTTTGACAAACAACAAAAAAACGTAACAAAAATTATTCTCTTTTGGATAGGTGTTATAAATTTCTGTTTACAAATTTAATATCTTATTAATATTTTTTCATTTATTAAAATATAAATTAAAAATCTCAAAAATGTTTCCAGAAAAAGGATTGTACAGTATTAAAACCTCGTATATTTTTTGCTTTTGAAAAAAAATGATTTAAAAGTTGTACAATTTTCAATTTGTTACTAAATAATGTGTCCTGGTAGAAAAAAAAATATTGTTTACATGTGTAACTAAATACCCCTTCTTTAGTGAGAGAGGCACCTATTTTAGCAAAAATATTTAAATTTTGGAAAGAAAAAACATTTTTTGTGTTAAATTAATCCTTAAAAGTTGTATTGATGATAAGTGATATCAATATTATAAATTAAAAAAAATCATTTCATAACCATTTAATTTCACGACAAATGTCGCGAATTTAAAGCTTTGAAAATTGACGTCACGCGCTAAATCCCCCATGGGAATTTTCAAAAGTTGGCATGTATGCATTTTCAAAGAGAATTATTAATTTTGCAAAATTTTACAATAATCTGAAGTTTTTGGTCTTAGTCGTAAGTTCTTTTGTAAAACGGGCCCCAGAACATCATAAAACCAGCAGACTGTATGAAGACTTCAAAATATTCTTTAAAGCTGAATATATACTCGTAATAATTTGTAGTCCTGCTAATAAATGTTGTGAACATTTTATATTTAAAGTTGTTTGCAATCGGGCCTCTGTGTGCAGGTTTAGTTGATCAGGATTCTGTTCTATGTAACTTAGCAATGTACAAAGATTTTTCAATAAACATGTGCTAGCTAGTACTATATTACATTATAACTCTGATATACCTGTTTCTTGGGTCCATGCAGAGTTGATCTTTAGGATGGGAATAAGTTGACATCATAACATTTTTAGAGTAGCAAGGTACTTAAAAAAGCTGCTCTTTTTATGTCCTATGAGCCAACAAACTACACTGTACATGTACATATGTCTGTTTGATAATAACTTTGATCAGCAATTTTGCAATATTTGTCCACACTGGGTGGGAAAAAAAATCATCATGATACTTTTTATATTAACTGAAACACAGTCAAACTGCTCAATGGATAAAGATTTTTCAACTGTGTGTCAAATAAATATTTTTACTCCAGTGATTAATGGTACAGTGTTCTGTTTTTAGGAAAAAGTTTCACAACATTGGTGAAGTGAGTGAGCAGCAGGTAGCATTTTTGGATGGTCACTTACAGCTTGTTTACACAAATGGGGAGGTGTGTGGGAGTGACCAAAAAAAACATGTCTCCACCCGGATCCTACTCTACTGTAACAAGGACTCCATTGTACGTAACAGTAGGGTAGAACTCGCTACTTCATTGGATTGTAAAACTATATAATGACTGTTATGTAATAATAAAAGGTATGACTTTCTATGTTTACTAGGATACCTCCCCTGCGGGACACTTTCAGGTGGGATGTGAACACAGGTTTGTTTGGCAGACAGCTGCAGCGTGTCAGATGGAGTCTCCAGATGTTACTGGAGGAAACTGCACAGTAACTAATCCCAAATCAGGTACGCTTCAGCTTCAGATAAAATCAGTTCATTTCCATTGCAGTTACATTTATGAGCTTTCAGAAAAAATATCTGAGGAATCTCGGTTTGACTCCTTCACAATATTTATCTGATGAGCATGCCTGAATAAAAATTTTCCTTAACAGGGTATGTTTTTGAAACACTATTTCCCCCTGGCAGCTTATGGTGAGGGTTGAATTTTCTTAAGTTCAAGTCAAACTATAAGGTCTAAGATAAAGAATGTTGGTATTCAAAGGAAGGTGATATCACAAGGAAGGCACCTGTGAGATATGAAAGCCTTAGTGCTAACTGTTCAAAAGAAGTGGTCAAGGTCAATGTTTTAAAAAGTTGATAAAATGCTAAGGTCAAGGTCAAAAGTTCAAAGTATTTATATCCATTAAAAGGTCTTGCGTAAATGAATACACAAATGAAGGATGAAAGCTTCAACTGTCCAAAAGTTATGGCCAAGGTTAAAGCATGAGGTCAAAGTCAAGAGGTCAAATTTGATGTTACATGAAAAAAGGTTTTGGAACAAGGAATACACCCGTAAAAAAAGGCATACCCCCACCCACTATGATGAGCAGGGTTAAAGTTTTTACAGATAGACAGCTAAACAGACAGACACACTACCGTACAAGTGGAAATTTTAGCGAGATGCAAATTTAGCGATTTGTCCCTAAAAACTTGTAATTTATTTTAAGCGAGATGTTAATTTAGCAATTTTAAGTGCACATTAAAGTAGCTATTAGAAATAAAACGCAATAAATTTTATTCAATTTCAAATATTCAATTTTAGTGATCTCGGCACCCTGGCTAATAATGCCAAAATTAAAAAATTTAATCCTCGCTAAAAATTCTACTTATAAGTTATATACCCCAAATCTTCAATTAGGAGGGGGGGGGGGGCTGATGTTTTCATTTAAATCTTTGTATATTACAAAATTCTGCAAATGTGCCTGCAATTTCAGATTTCATAAAAAGTAATTTAGACCCATTATTTGACATTAGAATATAAGAGCTGTTCTTCTTGTACACATTTCTGCAAATAAGAACCTGAAGTTGAAGCATCCACACTGGAAAACAAAAATGCGAGCTCTAAATAAGATTTGGGTTGACAATACACATGTACCGTATATACTCGCCTATAAGTCGGTCCGCCTATAAGTCAGTTGTATTTAATAAGCTTGTATATCAGTTGAACTGACCTCATATAAAACCATACTTTTAATAGCTCGCCTATAAGTCGGACAAATAGTTTTAGACCAGAGATTAACTCCCAAAAAACCGACTTATAGGCGAGTATATACGGTAGTATGAATAATATTAAGCATATTCAATTTGATAAATATTTCACCTTCTATTCTGCAGGATATACTTTTGATTTGCAATCTCTCAAACAAACAAAAGGCTACAATGTGTCTGACAGAGCAGACCACACATTTACCCTGAATGTTTGTCAGCCAATCAGTGGAACCCGATGTCAAGATAAAACAGGCAAGTTACCTGAATGTTTGTCAGCCCGAGTCAGTGGAACTAGATGTCGAAGATAAAACAGGCAAGTAACCTGAATGTTTTTGTCAGCCAGTGGAACCAGATCTGATGTCAAGATAAAACAGGCAAGTTACCTGAATGTTTGTCAGCCAGTCAGTGGAACCAGATGTCAAGATAAAACAAGCAAGTTACCTGAATGTTTGTCAGCCCGAGTCAGTGGAACTAGATGTCGAAGATAAAACAGGCAAGTAACCTGAATGTTTTTGTCAGCCAGTGGAACCAGATCTGATGTCAAGATAAAACAGGCAAGTTACCTGAATGTTTGTCAGCCAGTCAGTGGAACCAGATGTCAAGATAAAACAGGCAAGTTACCTGAATGTTTGTCAGCCCGAGTCAGTGGAACTAGATGTCGAAGATAAAACAGGCAAGTAACCTGAATGTTTGTCAGCCAGTGGAACCAGATCTGATGTCAAGATAAAACAGGCAAGTTACCTGAATGTTTTTGTCAGCCAGTGGAACCAGATCTGATGTCAAGATAAAACAGGCAAGTTACCTGAATGTTTGTCAGCCAGTCAGTGGAACCAGATGTCAAGATAAAACAGGCAAGTTACCTGAATGTTTGTCAGCCAGTCAGTGGAACCAGATGTCAAGATAAAACAGGCAAGTTACCTGAATGTTTGTCAGCCCGAGTCAGTGGAACCAGATGTCAAGATAAAACAGGCAAGTTTCCTGAATTTTTGTTAGCCAGTCAGTGGAACTAGATGTCAAGATAAACAGACAAGTTGGAACTAGATGTCAAGATAAACAGACAAGTTACCTGAATGTTTTTTTCAGTCAGTGGAACTAGATGTCAAGTTTTTAAAAATTAGAAATCGAAGACTGCATTAAAGTTTTAGTGCTTTCAACATCTTTAGAAATTTGCACCTTTAATTTCATGCTTTATATATATGTTTTCCTTGAATTCTTGAAATTCAAAAAATATTAACATTTTGGATTGTCTGCCAATGTCAAGATATCATTTCTAGCTGTATTATTTTTTGAAATATCTTTAGATTAAGTTGTAAAAAGGTTATGTTTTTTTTCAATTTTTGAACATTTATGCTATGTTTTTAACTGTTGCAGGTGCTTGCCAGGTAGAGACAAGAGGACAGTTGAGGTCATTTAATGCGGGGAATGCTAACACTAAGCTTCAGTATGACGACGGCATTCTGTTCCTTAATTACACAGGGGGAGATAAATGTCATAATGGTCAGTTTGAGCGGAATGTCATCATCAGTTTTATTTGTTCGCTGGATGCTGGGCGAGGCCACCCAGAATTTATTGCAGAAACAGAGGACTGTACCTATCAGTTTGTGTGGCACACTGATCTGGCTTGTGAGGAACAGGTAAAGTCTGATTTCTGAAGCAGATTTTCCAACCAGCAAGTTGCAACAAAAACTTTCAGTATATTTTTGTGTTACATTGTTTTACCTCAGGCAACTAAATTGTCAGTAATTAAGGTTTGAATATTTAATGAAACCAAAAGATACTATATCATACTGATTATTTTGCTACAATGTAATAGTATTTTGTATGAAAATTCTTTGAAAGTAGAATTAATTTTGACAATATTGCCTCAATGAAGAGAATTAGGCAACAGACAATGTTCAAAAAAAGGTCCAAACATCAAATTTTAATAATGTGTGACAGTAGTTTTTAGCTCACCTGAGCCGAAGGCTCAAGTGAGCTTTTCTGATCACATTTAGTCCGTCGTCCGTCCATCTGTCTGTCCGTCCGTCTGTAAACTTTTTACATTTTCGACTTCTTCTCAAGAACCACTGGGCCAATTTTGACCAAACTTGGTACAAAGTATCCTTGGGTAAAGGGGAATTTAAATTGTTAAAATGAAGGGACATATCCCCTCGCAAGGGGAGATAATCAAGAATAGACAAAAATAGGGTTGGGTCATTAAAAAATCTTCTTCTCAAGAACCACTGGGCCAGTAAAGCTGAAACTTATGTGGAAGCATCCTGGGGTAGTGTAAATTCTAAATTGTTCAAATCATGACCCCCGGGGGAAGGGGGGGGCCACAATGGGGAATCAAAGTTTTATATAGAAATATACATGATAAATCTTTGAAAATCTTCTTCTCAAGAACCACTGGGCCAGAAAAGCTGAAACTTATGTGGAAGCATCCTGGTATAGTGTAGATTCTAAATTGTTCACATCATGACCGGGGGAAGGGCGGGGCCACAATGGGGAATCAAAGATTTATATAGAAATATATAGGAAAAATCTTTGAAAATCTTCTTCTCAAGAACCACTTGGCAAGAAAAGCTGAAACTTAACTGGAAGCATCCTGGTATAGTGTAGATTCAAAATTGTTCACATCATGACCCCCGGGGGAAGGGCGGGGCCACAATGGGGAATCAAAGTTTTATATAGAAATATATAGGAAAAATCTTTGAAAATCTTCTTCTCAAGAACCACTGGGCCAGAAAAGCTGAAACTTATGTGGAAGCATCCTGGTATAATGTAGATTCTAAATTGTTCAAATCATGACCCCGTGGGGAGGGGCGGGGCCACAATGGGGAATCAAAGTTGTATATAGAAATATATAGGAAAAATCTTTGAAAATCTTCTTCTCAAGAACCACTGGGCCAGAAAAGCTGAAACTTATGTGGAAGCATCCTGGTATAATGTAGATTCTAAATTGTTCAAATCATGACCCCGGGGGGAAGGGCGGGGTCAAAATGGGGAATCAAAGTTTTATATAGAAATATATAGGATAAATCTTTGAAAATCTTCTTCTCAAGAACCACTGGGCCAGAAAAAGTGAAGCTTATGTGGAAGCATTCTGGGGTAGTGTAAATTCTAAATTGTAGAAATCATGACCCCCGGGGGAAGGGCGGGGCCATTATAGGGAATCAAAGATTTGCATAGAAATATATAGGAAAAATCTTCTTCTCAGGAACCACTGGGCCAAAAAAGCTGAAACATATGTGCCCATCCATGGAAGGATCATGTGGTAGTGTAGATTTCAAAATGTCTAAATTATGATCAGTGGGGTAGGGTGGGGATGCATTATGTATAACAAGGGGGAAATCTGGTAAAGAACAGAATGGTCAATGCTTCTCAGGTGAGCGATGTGGCCCATGGGCCTCTTGTTATTACAATAATGAATAGAACTGTTATTGACAACCTCAAGATAGCTATATTCAGTTGCATATTTAAAGGAGGGGTAATATTGTGAATCATTTTCCTTCCAAGTATTTATCACATTGGCTTTATATTTTTTTTCTTGAAGACCTTATTTTTAAGAAAATATAATCCTTTTGAACCATAAGCAAACCCAACCCAAAATAAGACTGACTTCTGTTTTACAAGGTGATGTGCTCAGTAGAGAAGGACGGTTATACTATTGATTTGGCTCCACTGATAAAGAAGTCTGGTCATCATCTCGCTGTGTCCACAACCAGACGCGGATCTAACACTAACGGTACATTCTACATCAATATCTGTCGCCCTCTTAATCCTATATATGGAAAGCTCTGTCCACCTGGGGCTAGTGCATGCTGGGATAGAGTAGGAAAGTCACCAATCGTAAGTGTATTCACAATAAATTGTTGTTTTTCTTTTCTCTCTTATAAATAAGAGGATTTATTTTACAGCTTTTTGCTTTCTATTGTAAGCTCACCTGAGCTGAAAGCTACATGTAAAATGAACTTTTCTGATCACCTGTTGTCTGTCTGTCTGCCTGCCGTAGTTGTCTGTTATCTGTATACTTTTCCCCTGGGGATACACAGGGCCACCATAGAAAATCAAATTTTTACATTGAAGTGTATAGAAAAAGATATTTTAAAAGTTTCTCATAAACCAGTGGACTAGAAAAGTTAAATCTTATGTGGAAGTTCCTGAGGTAGTGTTGATTCTAAATATTTTAGATAAATCATGGCTGCTGGGGTTAGGATAGGGGCACAATTACATGTATGTATTACAAGGGGGGGGGGGGGCATCTAATGAAGAACAGCATGGCCATAGTTATGTAGGTGAGTGTAATGGCTCATGGACCTCTTGTTCATTATAACTGTTTGCATGAATCTGATCTCTTTATGTGTTATACACTGTACTTAATGTTGGTTTACAGATAGAAAACTACATGTTTTTGTTATATTATATAGAGTCTAGGTAAAGCAAGGACCCACCCACAACTTGATCCAGTTACTAATAAAATTTACCTTCTGTATGACCACGGGTCTAAGTGTCCCACCGATGCCACTACAAATATTACCACTAAAATCATCTTCAACTGCAGACAAGGGCCATCTGCTGTAAGTCTGTTATTAAAATAGTAATTCAGGGGAAGAACATTAACTTATGGCTTCAATGTAAGGCACACTGCCCTTATAATTTTTTAAACTTTTTTTTCAGTAAATAATTAAATTTACTTATGATCATTACAAACCTTGGATAATCTAATTGTACTTTGACTTATTAGGGTATGCCAAAGCTGGAGTATGTAAATGGATGTCAGTATATATTTGAGTGGGACACCAATGTTGTATGTGAGAGAAACAAGACTGATGTTCCTAAGGGCAATTGTGTCTATATGGACCCAATCACAAGGGCCATCTATAATCTGACAGGCCTCAAAACCAATCAGCCAATTCAGGTAAAATCTTACCTCATTGCTTCGGAATTCAAGTCTTTGCTTTTTTCTTAATTTTGAGAAAGCAATTGAAATACAAAATCATTTTTGTGCTTGAAAATTTTTAAATAAAAGTTAATTTGATCTTTTTACTGATTATGATCATTATGTGATAAAATTTTCTTAATATTCAGTTTTAAGTTGTCTTTTATTCTTTTTATAAAATGAAAGAAATTATGTTTTGTTAAAATGTTCAAAAAGTCATTGCTAGATTATGCAGCTAATAGTTTGTCTGCAAGTGCACTGCAGATACAAATCTTGAAAATGTATCATATTACTCTACTAAGTTACAACATCAGCAGTTACTGTAGTAATCATTTCAGGAATGTGTGTTATACTCAATATTCATTCTTTCGTTTAGCTGACCAGAAATGGTGTGAAGTACTTAATAAATCTCTGTGAAGGTTTTGATGCCAATTATTCTGGTTGTGAAGATTCCTCCATTTGTCGTTGGAATGGAACTAATGGTCATGGTTATGGCAAGGTCACTACTGGTCAGTTTATCTCCAGCGAGGAACAGCTGAAACTGGTCTACAGCAATGGAGAGGACTGTCAAGGTTTTGCTTTTTCTCTGCATACCGTATAAGTAGAAATTTTAGCGAGGATTTAATTTTGGCATTATTAGCGAGGGTACTGAGATCGCTAAAATTACATATCGCTAAAAATTTATCGCCTTTAATTTGTAATAAGTTCTTTAGGGATCAATTTCAAATCGCTAAAATTACATCTCACTAAAAATAAAATACCAGTTTTTAAGGACAAATCGCTAAATTTGCGTCTCGCTAAAATTTCCACTTAAACGGTATTTCTCTTGTGAAATTAAAAATGAGATCAAAAGTGAGCATATCTAAATTTATTGCCATGAAGCTAGAATGATATGGGCTCATTACATCTCATCTGAATTTTGACTTACTACTCTTGCAATGGCCATAGGGAGTAATGTTTATGAAATCTACATCCTTGTTTGAGTACAAGCTCAGAATTCAAATTGCAGAAAAAGTCCCTGTTGTTTATACCAGAGAATGTAATTAATTAATTATGTTAATTATGTTTGTATACAGGTAACAGCCAGGGAGTCATCAACTTTGAGTGTGAGTTGTACACCTACCCAGGAACTCCCACCATTACAGTAAGATCCTCTCTTTATAGAAAGTAGAATAAGTTGACCAATCAGTAATTTATTGGAGAGAAATACTTTGATATAAAAAGCAAAGGACCGTAAGATTTTCTTCTCAATTTACATAACTTTTGTATTTTTGTGTCAGTTTAAATGTTTAAACTGTATTTCCATGTATAAATTTGATCTTGTTTTGTGACCCCACTTAACTCCGGTGGACATGATTTGTATAAATTTGATCTTGTTTTGTGACCCCACTTAACTCCGGTGGACATGATTTGTATAAATTTGATCTTGTTTTGTGACCCCACTTAACTCCGGTGGACATGATTTGTATAAATTTGATCTTGTTTTGTGACCCCACTTAACTCCGGTGGACATGATTTGTATAAATTTGATCTTGTTTTGTGACCCCACTTAACTCCGGTGGACATGATTTGAATACATTTGAATCTGCTCAACCTTATGGAATTTTTCCAGGATGTCATGATTTAATGAACTTGGAAGTCTGCATTAATTATAAATGCTTTCACACAAAAAGAATCTCACTTTCTTTTAATCTTTTCTTGATTGTTTCTCCCTTCATTTTAACAAACAGAACAAGGGTTAATGGTTATAGTGTTGTACAATTCATAATAAATAACTTATAAGCAAGAATGTATGACTGTCCCGGTTAGGTGGGTAACAATGTACATACAATTATGAGATATGTGACAATAAGAAAATGACAAGCTTATCTTTCTTTTCAGTTCACCAGTGAGTGTCAGGGGACATTTCACTGGGGTACCAGGGCTGTGTGCCCCACCATAGCTGACCAGTGTACGGTGGCCGAACATGGACATGTATATGATCTCAGTGTGTTGTCACGGCAACAGGGAAGCTGGAACTTAACAGATGCACAAGGAAACACGTGAGTGTGCTCAACAATCAGTATCTAAATGGTCTGTGAAAAAATTACACCTGTATCATAAAATAGAGTAGCTCAGTACATACACATTCATCACCTGTTGAATAATTAGTGTTGTAAAATCGGACAAATTTTACTATCGATTATCAAATTGAATCGGAAGAACACAATCGATTATATAATCGATAATTTAAACTATTAAAAAAGGGTTAAATTTATTCATTCAGCACGAGTAGAATTCCATGACATGTGACCGCGAACTTCAACTTATCTTTATTGGCATACGACTTTTTACACAATTTACAAATAACCGAGTCCATCTGTTAATTATTTTTGCATGGATGCCCATCGCCCTTTTTCCGAAAGCCAAAAAATCCAAACTTTAGATCGTGTTGCACCAGGATATGGATATAATTCGACGTCAACCTCTTCACCACGCACGTTCGCCATTTTGTTTACCGCCGATTAGAGTGACGTCCGTTTGGTGAATATAAAAGTTAAACCTGATCAGCTTGAAAAATACGGCTTGAAAAATATAGCGATCTATCGATGATAATATTTACAATCGATTGTCGCCGATCTGTGCCTTTAAACGACGATTTTTCGATAGTCGGCGACTATCGTAACAACACTATGAATAATTGGATGAAACAATTAATGTTCATAAAAAAAATAGTTCCATTATGATTTTCAATTTTCATATGATTTCTAGGTGGATGGAAAAAACTCTTCGTTGAATAAAAGTGCTTTTAATTTATCTTTTGTTTCTATCATTATGTTTCTATAGTAAGTTTCCTTTGTAGTTACTGGATAAACATTTGTCAGGGTGTTCACAATGGGCCAGCTACAGGGAGCTGTTCTGACCAGTCAGCAGTGTGTCGCCGTACTCCAGATGGCAGGGTTCACAGTCTGGGATTGGTCACGTCACAGAGCCTTGTTATAGGGGGTATGTCAGTCATGTGACGTATTATTCCTGTGAATCTTCTTTATTGCATTGTCAGTTTGAGTAATTTTATTACAATATTTTCCCCACTATTGTGCCAAGTAAAGTATCCTGGTGCCAAAATAATAGGACTATCTGTCAGCATATTTTTACACACCCAGATCCCGGGGGGTATATTGTTTTTGTACTGTTAAAGTAGGTCTATACTCGCACTACGTCATTTTCGAATAGTAGAACCGGAACCGCGCTTCCTTTTTCCGAGATGTGATTTTTTAACTATATTGGTTTTACTTTTACTTAGCGTTTTAAATATCCGGTAACGATTTTGCTCCAAGTCGCTCGTGTCAACAAACGTACAAACACTGATTCTACAGTTTTAAGGATAAATTAATTAAAAAGGGAAGGCTGGGAACAACTTCGGGTCGACAGAAATAATAAGGTAATAAAACGATATTTCTGTGAGTGATGCATGTGCTATATGCCATGCCGATAACGTGGACCACGAACTTGCTACATCAGAACATGTATGATTTGTATCAAACTCTCGCGACTATTGTTGGCGGCCGAAATGAAGCTAATAGTGATAATTCGGAAGAAAAGTAATGGCTATGATTTGACTTAGACAATTTATAAGTTTTACTAATCAAACAGTACAAAATTTACTTTGAATAATAATTTTGTATAAGACGCAACCCCCCCCCCCCCAACCCTGCTTACCCATGAATTAATGCAATATTATCTTTTGAATATAAGTATATGACAAAAGTTAATTCACTTGCAGCATAGTATTACTTACTTTCTGTAACAAAATTATCCAGTATGTGAGAATCAGTCAATCACTTTCATTTTCATTGTCTCCAATTTACAGACAAGTGTTTTAATTTTTTTTTTAAAGAGTAAAATAAGATAAATTTTAGTGACAATAGGTATTGGGTGTGTATGATTATTGTTTTAAATATGTACAACTTTGTTCATACAAATATACACTCAAATATTAACAGTATTACAGGAAAATGTGGCAATATATTACTTCTGGAATAAGGAAATTAGGGGGGTACCTTTAGTGTAGAGCTCATACCACGAAAAGTAATGCGTCAACATGTAATTTTTTTAAGCTTAATCTTTTTCTTAAATATTATTTAGTAAAAATAATACAATTTTACGAAGTTTGAGTCCATAATTTGTTTTTAAATGACAAAGATTGACCTGTGAAGCATATTTTCTCATTTTAAATTTTAATACGTTAGCCTAACAAAGTGCATCTATTTATAAATATTAATGCAAAACAATGATTATATATCGTTGACAAACATATTTCTACTCTCTTTAGGGTATTAAAGTCGAATACTTAGACTTGAATCCATTTAAATACAACAAAATCTAGGATCTGTAAATTTTCTGTATTTTACATTTCGGGGTATATACTCCGATAGGCAATAGCTGAAAAGTAAATATGTTGACATATCATTTTTCTTGTATCTATCCATTGCTGGGATGTATGTCTATCTTTTAAAAGCAGATTTTTTAAGATTGAGCCCATTTAGTGCCGAGTATAGAACTACCTTAATCTGTTCTTCTGTCTGTCTGTTGTCAATTTTTACTTAGTCCGTAACTATTGAGTGGGTGGGGCTATTACTTTCATATTTCACATGTGTATTCCTTGTGATGAGACCTTTCTTTGGGTACTACCAAATTTGACCTTGACCTTGAAGTTTGACCTACTTCATACATGTGATATGTACCGGTGGTACACAAAATGTCACGTATTTTCGACCCCATTCACTGGCTCACGGTGGTACATGAAAATTCACGGGAAATGTAAATGTGTACCGTATTTTAAAATGTTTACCGGAAACCGCCATTTTTCTTTCATTCCCGCTTGCGCAACACCGGAAATCTCGAAGTATGTGTGACTTACTGCGCCTGATTACTGTAAACAAAATTTCGTGAACGAAGAGGTGTGAAATATTTCCCTGATAATTACATCGTAATTAGGAGATATCAAAGCGTTTTGTTTGGCTGATTGCTTTTTAATAGGACCTTCATCAAGGATTTGTTTAAACTGTAATTTATTAAAATAAGACATTTCAAAGAGAAAACACCATTCACAAGAATCGGAGGCACTTTGTGACAGCAAAAAGAAATTTAGTCTCGTTTTCCCAAGACTCTCGCTCTCGAGACTTTGCCCGAGAGTCTGGGGAAAACGAGACTAAAAGAAATTAAGTTCATTATTTGATCAGGCATACGTATTGTCTATTCAATCACAGATTCAGAAAACTTTTTTTTTAGTACAATTTATAAAATTGCGGCTGAATGGAGACGACCAGACTCATACAATGAATTGTTTTTAAACACTACTTTTTACTAAGTTCATCATTTAGCACAATTGCCGACATTCAAAATACTGCAAGGGTTTCTCGAAAAGAATAATAAATCTTAATACTTTGTTTTTGGGCGGATATTTTGTACCGTTTTTTGTACCGTTTTTTTGATTAGCAAAGTACAGTATTTTCACCCAAATTCCAGTATTTTAAAGGCTGCTGTACAGTATACACTGTCGGGTATCCGCGCCGGTTGTGACATGTTTGGATGCGGTGAAAATGGCGTGAAATGTACAAACGGGGAATACTGTGTACCTTTTCCAGGTCTATATTTTGGTAAATATTAATATTTAATTTACATCCTTAAATTAATTTATGTAAAACATCTGACACGGCAGACCCATGCTAGCAATTAAGTTTCTTAATCCCAAAATTTCTTATCCGTTAGATTAAAGCAATTCTCGAAGATCTTTCTGTAAATTGGTATGATTTATATTCTCGGCCTTCGAATGCTAAGATATGCGCGCGGGTTCTCACGCCTTTCACCATTCCCTCACAGAGCCTTGTCAGTGAACGCGCAAACAAAAATTCTGCTGTAATTTTAATTGTTGATCTCTTCATATCTATTCAATTGGGATAGAAAGGTATGGATTTTAATTTTTGATGTTTATTTTCCTCGGCATGTTGGATCCCTATGTTCTTGAAGGAAAATCGCTGATCTACGTCCAGGTGTACTCATTTTACATATAGGAGGAAATGATGTTGACAATGTAACAGCAGATGAATCGTTTGTATTAAAATATTAATTTTTTTCTCAATTTTTAATTGAAATTCTATAGGTATCTGGGTAATTTAAATGATGTGTTTCAATTCTGTTTATAGTGTTCATTAAATAACTCGTTGATGCACTTTTTTATCGATGCACTTGACATTCATACCCCTTTATCAAGTTTTAATTCGTGATTGTTAAAATGATATCAAATATATTTAAAATCTGAAGCAGCCAAAAGAAAGAAAAATCATTTTACATTTAAGATATTAAAAGTGTAATTTATGTCCCATACAAGAAATGTATTTAAAAACCGTTTTATTTTATATACCCATAACAAATATAGTACGGTTTGGATGATGGGAGTGTTCTGGTTTGGATGCAAATTCAACATCTATATGTTACGGTTTGGTTGGTCTATAGTTTCAAATTTCAATTCATAAAAATTTTTCACAGGTACATAAGAAGTCACCTTTCCCTTCCTCATACATTGTTTTTACAGCTGATTTCATATAAGAATGTTGAATCCCTTTTTCTCCACACGATTTAAAGGAAAGTTTTCGATCACATCCCCTTTTTCTTTAAAAACGATACTACGTGTCTGATAACATGAAATAAATGTAAAATATGTTAAATAAAATGAAAAAAAAAATCGTATAATGCATATCCTGTCAACAGTCCCGTCCCATTTATAAGGCAGATTATCCCACGTTTCCAACTTTCGTTGATGCTCTTGCATCGCCCGCGAGGCACACTGGTAAGAGCGTCTGCTCTCGAGTCTCGAAGTAAGGAGTCAATCATTACGTCGCGGGTTCGAATCCAACTGTGAGAGAGAACGGTCCTTCGGATAAGACAATATAAGGCGAGGTCCCGTGTCGCAGTACGTGCTGGCACGAAAAAGATCCGTCACTGCTCAGTGACCCTGAGAGCCGAGTATAGGACATGTAGATGGTGCTCACAGCTGTACTGAGCGACTGATCGTGTAATGCCGGAGCCCACTTTGCAGAGATTTTAAACTTGTAATAAGCTTGCTACATTGATTGCATATGTTATATTCTCCCTCACTTTGTCCATTCAAATGTTTTATATTCTATGATAATAATAAGAAAAGAACTATATATTACATACGCATTGAATCCGAGGGGGGGGTATCATTAAATAGGCATGCATTGAACATTGGGGCGTTGGTCCCCCCCCCCCTTTCAACAGGCATATAATCAAAAAAGGGTAAGCAGTATGATATAATGTTTGAAAAAATGGTAGAGAAACAAATTACCCCCCCCCCCCCCCCCTCGCACACACACAGGAAATAGGATTTTCGGGATTGGAAAATGCCAATTCTTTTTTTGGTCCATTAATTAGCCCCCCCCCCCCCCCCTTTTACTTCCGACGCCAATATGACAGGATTGGTACTGGTTATAAACTTTTATTTTGCATTGTATTATATAACTATAATATTGATTAATTTTATTGTAGATAATTATTTCATGAATCAATATATTAAGAGAATAGTATGTATTGTACATATAAACCGAATATGTCCGATTATGTAATAAGAGAATGAAATGAAAAAAAAAACACCACAGGAATCAGTGTATTGACTAAGGGCTATAAAAGGGGGTCGGCTTCTTACACCTTTCCCCCTAAATATAAATCATAATTAGCCTCTTGCTGTGGAACTTGTTCATTGAAAGGCCTGTAAACCTACTCTCTTTTTTGCGGGGTTGCAGTACAGCCAAGTTATCATTTTATAGTATTTGTTTGTGACCCCTCCCCCCTTTTTCGAAATATGGTTTATGAAGTCCTGATTTGTTACCATTTATTTCTTCGTTAAAGATGTTTCTAGGTAAGTTTTCAAACAATTTATCTGGAAACCCCGCCCCTTCCTTTAAAAATGTTAAAACTGACATTTTATACCATAATGTTAAGTATGATTTATATCAAAGAATCTCATCCAAACCGTATCAGAACTTCATCCAAACCGTACACAGTTTTGTAAACACTGGCATCCAAACATGTTACGTTGTTCTATAGGCCTAGCATGTCACCATCGGAACAGTTTCTTTGCATTAAATTCGTGGATTAATGGCAGAGCTACAGGATAAATAATTACTTTTAAACACAGGCTGTCTCTTAGTTGTAAAATTACATACTACAGATTTCATTTAATAAGACTAAATCCTTTCGATGAGTCGAAGCGGTTGATTGACTCCGCCATTTTCACTGCATCCAAACATGTCACAACCGGCGCGGATACCCGACAGTGGTATATAAGTCTAGAAATTATCACATGTATGCTACTTTAATAAAAAAAATACCACACTTTAACCATGGGCATAACTTTTGAACAGCTGGAGCTAGGGCTTTCATACTTCATATACTGTAGAAGTACTTTTTTCCATATGGTATTAATTTATGCTACGTACGTGGTTACAAATTTTATGCAGAAATTTGTCTAATTGTACTTAATATTCATGTAAGGTATATAGGGATAGTCTAAGAAGTCAGCATAATTTTCTACCCGCAGATTAAACAGAAATTGAGATTCTGCGGAATTATTACACCATGAAAAATATTCATATAAAATCTACATATATTGTAACAAGACCTTTCAGCTGATATACTGTATACAGAGTAATTTTCGCCCCCATTTTATTTTCGTCCTTTTGCCCTCTTCTTGATTGGGCGAATTTAGTATGGGGCGAATTCAAAATACACCTTATAATTTCTTAAGCAGAAATATGATTGGGCGAATTTAAAACGGGGCAAAATTGTTCACAAGTTCAAAAGGGCGAAAATAACACAGGGCAAAAATAACCCTGTATTCAGTAGATATTTTTTACCTTGACCTAAGAGTTTGACCCACTTATTTAAATCTTTAAGCTTGGTTATAACTTTTGAACAGTTAGAACTAAGACTCTCATATTTCACAGGTGTAATCTTTGCAACAAGACCTTCCTTTGGGTACCAACACTTTTGACCTTTGCATTTTGACATGCATACAAGAGAATTCAATCTTGGCCATAAGCTGCCATACGGGGGCATCAGTGTTTAACAAACACATCTTGTTTAAATAGATATAAGTATTCTGAATACATGTTTAGGTATTCAATGTTGAACAGTGTAATTCATTCATCCATGCTAGTTATTTCTCAGCCTAGACTGAGCTTGTGAAGAGAGCAGAAAAGAGTTGAGTGTGTGCACAGATATCCGAAGTGATGGATGTATTTTCTAGAATTTGGATCTATTATTTTTTTTCATTTTGACAGATGATGGGAAAACATTACAACTTGAATATTCCAGTGATGATTTAGCCTGCACAAATAAACACAGACGTAGTGATAACCTGAAGACGAGAACTGTTATACAGTTTGAGTGTGGTCATTCTGTTGGGGGACCAGTGTACATTCCCAGGTAATCAACACAGTTATAAAATGATTCACATTTCAGAATTGATGATGGACGGCATTGGACTGCTGTATAGATAGTCTGAACCAATCAGAGGACATCAGAATTCCACATTGTTTAACTATTTAACTTATTCATACTGTTAAATCACATATTTTCATGGGGTCAATTTTTAGCTCACCTGAGCCTAAGGCTCAAGTGAGCTTTTCTGATCAAAATTTGTCCGTTGTCTGTCGTTGTCGTTGTTGTCGTTGTTGTCGTTGTCGTCGTAAACTTTTCACATTTTCATCTTCTTCTCAAGAACCACTGGGCCAATTTCAACCAAACTTGCTACAAAGTATTCTTGGGTAAAGGGGATTCAAGTTTGTTCAAATGAAGGGCCACGCCCTTTTCCAAGGGGAGATAATTATGAATTTGAGAAAAAATAATGGCATTTTTAAAAAATCTTCTTCTCAAGAACCACTGGGCCAGAAAAGATGAGACTCATGTGGAATCATCCTCAGGTAGTGTAGATTAAAGTTTGTTCAAATCATGACCCCCGGGGCTAGGGTGGGGCCAAAATGGCCGATCAAAGTTTTACATAGGAATATGTAGGAAAAATCTTTTAAAATCTTCTTCTCAAGAACCACTGGGCCAGGAAAGATGAAACTCATATGGAATTATCCTCAGATAGTGTAGATTCAAGTTTGTTCAAATCATGACCCCCGGGGGTAAGGTGGGGCCAAATTGGCCGCCCAAAAATTAATTCTCATAGGAATATAAAGGGAAGCCTTTAAAATTCTTTTCAAGTACTTCAAAGCCAATTAGTAATATTTATGTAGAATTATCCTCAGGTAGTGTAGATTCTAGTTCGTCCAAATCATGAATTGTGCTTTTTCCTAGCTGATGTGCTCAGGTGAGTGCTGTGGCCCCTGGGCCTCTTGTTGGTGGTTTAAGGTAGGTCCCTACTCGTGGAATTAATTGGATAACACTGCAATTTTTGTCCTGATTTACATTAAGAGATGCTTTATCTACTTAGAAAGCACAAAAAGTAGATAGATAATCTAAATATTCAATGAGATAGGGTGTGAAACACTCATGTACCCTCTTGTACCAAAAATAAAATCACGACTGTTATAAAGATGGTCTATATTTTATGTCAGCACATGGCAAATAAATTCTTTTGAACATAAATCACATGGATAAGGATAATAATGAATAATTTCAGGCTGCATTAAACATTACTGATTGAAACTAAGAAAATATTGAAGAATTAATCTCATTTTACTAATAAAGTAACTGAGCTCAAAACTCAAATAAACCTCTCTACTAGAATTATTAATTGTTTACCCTGATTTTTTTGTCTTTATTTATGTCAACCGATGCTTGAAGTATCTTTTAGGCATGATAAATTTATTGGTCATCTGTCTTTTCACCGAGATATGGGGTAAAACATACAGGTACCCCCATCGCAGTTTAATAGCTATTAAAGCCTTTTATGTCAACAAAAATATTTATAAATCAGCTAAAAAGTGAAATATTCTTTTTAAGAACAATTTTATCAAAATTTATACACCCGTTCCTAATTATAAACATAAATTTTATTCTCACATTTAATGCTGAATATTTTATATACAAGGGGGGGGGGGCATGTCCACTTCTAATGATACAACTTTCCTGGATGCCTATTACTACTTACAAAAGATTATAAGCAAGACATACAATGTCTTGCAAGCAGAATTATGTCTAAAATTTCATATACAACATCAGTAGCCTGTGTTGATTTTTTTATTATATAACTGCGTATCTTCATTCGTATGTAGAAAATTAGCCGTCAAAACGAAAGTAGGAAAATCCCATCTGCATATCATACTAATTGTGCACAAATAAAATAAAAACAATGAACGAAAAGAATTATTTAATGACATAAGAGCAAATTATTTGCTACGTTTTCTGTAAATAGGTATCAGTAATATTGGAGTTGTATGCAATAAAAACGTATAGTATCAATATAACATCCTAGGTAAAATATATCTGAAATGACTGGCATTCGACCTCGCGCTTGTTTTTATACTGCATGAATTTCAATCCTTGCACAAAAATACCCTCAATCATCTTTATACACTCCTTCAACACTTCTGTAGACATTGTTTACGTTCTTGCTAATGTTATATGAACCATAATATTAAAACCGAAAACGGCTAATTCCGGCTTCCGGTTTACCACGAGTAGGCCCCTACTTTAAAGAAAAAAAATATATGTTTGAGGGGATTTGATTTGGTGGTTGGAGGATTGTTAAGTAGTTTATAGCTCACCTGAGCCGAAGGCTCAAGTGAGCTTTTCTGATCACATTTTGTCCGGCGTCCGTCCGTCTGTCTGTCTGTAAACTTTTCACATTTTGGACTTCTTCTCAAGAACCTCTGGGCCAATTTCAACCAAACTTGCCACAAAGCATCCTTGGGTGTTTGTTCAAATGAAGGGCCACGCCCTCATTCAAGGGGAGATAATTGGCAATTAATGAAAATTTGGTGGCATGTTTTAAAAATCTTCTTCTCAAGAACCGCTGTGCCAAGAAAGATGAAACTTATGGGGAATCATCCTCAGGTAGTGTAGATTCAAATTTGTTCAAATCATGACCCCCGGGGGAAGGGCGGGGCCAAAATGGCCGACCAAAGTTTAACATAGTAATATATAGGAAAATTCTTTAAAAATCTTCTTCTTAAGAATGACCAAGCCATAATTCATCATATTTATATGGAAGCATCCTCAGGTAGTGTAGATTCAAGTTTGTTCAAATCATGACCCCCGGGGGTAGGGCGGGGCCAAAATAACCGACCAAATTTTCACTTAGAAATATATAGGAAAATTCTTTAAAAATCTTCTTCTCAAGAATGACCAAGCCATAATTCATTATATTTATTTGGAAGCATCCTCAGGTAGTTTAGATTCAAGTTTGTTCAAATCTTGACCCACGGGGGTAGGGCGGGGCCAAAATGGCCGACCAAAGTTTTACATAGAAATATGTAGGAAAATTCTTTAAAAATCTTCTTCTCAAGAATGACCAAGCCATAATTCATCATATTTATATGGAAGCATCCTCAGGTAGTGTAGATTCAAGTTTGTTCAAATCATGACCCCCGGGGGTAGGGCGGGGCCAAAATGACCGACCAAAGTTTTACATAGAAATATATAAGAAAATTCTTCAAAAATCTTCTTCTCAAGAATGACCAAGCCATAATTCATCATATTTATATGGAAGCATCCTCAGGTAGTGTAGATTCAAATTTGTTCAAATCATGACCCCCGGGGGTAGGGCGGGGCCAAAATGGCCGACCAAAGTTTTACATAGAAATATATAGGAAAATTCTTTAAAAATTTTCTTCTCAAGAATGACCAAGCCATAATTCATCATATTTATATGGTAGCATCCTCAGGCAGTGTATAGATTCAAGTTTGTTCAAATCATGACCTCCAGGGGTAGGGCGGGGCCAAAATGGCCGACCAAAGTTTTACATAGAAATATGTAGGAAAATTCTTTAAAAATCTACTTCTCAAGAATGACCAAGCCATAATTCATCATATTTATATGGAAGCATCCTCAGGTAGTGTAGATTGAAGTTTGTTCAAATCATGACCCCCGGGGGTAGGGCAGGGCCAAAATAGCCGACCAAATTTTCACTTAGAAATATATAGGAAAATTCTTTAAAAATCTTCTTCTCAAGAATGACCAAGCCATAATTCATCATATTTATTTTGAAGCATCCTCAGGTAGTGTAGATTCAAGTTTGTTCAAATCATGACCCCCGGGGGTAGGGCGGGGCCAAAATGGCCGACCAAAGTTTTACATAGAAATATGTAGGAAAATTCTTTAAAAATCTTCTTCTCAAGAATGTCCAAGCCATAATTCATCATATTTATATGGAAGCATCCTCAGGTAGTGTAGATTCAAGTTTGTTCAAATCATGACCCCCTGGGGGTAGGGCGGGCCAAAATGACCGACCAAAGTTTTACATAGAAATATATAAGAAAATTCTTTAAAAATCTTCTTCTCAAGAATGACCAAGCCATAATTCATCATATTTATATGGAAGCATCCTCAGGTAGTGTAGATTCAAATTTGTTCAAATCATGACCCCCGGGGGTAGGGCGGGGCCAAAATAGCCGACCAAAGTTTTACATAGAAATATATAGAAAAATTCTTTAAAAATTTTCTTCTCAAGAATGACCAAGCCATAATTCATCATATTTATATGGTAGCATCCTCAGGTAGTGTATAGATTCAAGTTTGTTCAAATCATGACCCCCTGGGGGTAGGGCGGGGCCAAAATGACCGACCAAAGTTTTACATAGAAATATATAAGAAAATTCTTTAAAAATCTTCTTCTCAAGAATGACCAAGCCATAATTCATCATTTTTATATGGAAGCATCCTCAGGTAGTGTAGATTCAAATTTGTTCAAATCATGACCCCCGGGGGTAGGGCGGGGCCAAAATGGCCGACCAAAGTTTTACATAGAAATATATAGGAAAATTCTTTAAAAATTTTCTTCTCAAGAATGACCAAGCCATAATTCATCATATTTATATGGTAGCATCCTCAGGTAGTGTAGATTCAATTTTGTTCAAATCATGACCCCCGGGGGTAAGGCGGGGTCAAAATGGCCGACCAAAGTTTTACATAGAAATATGTAGGAAAATTCTTTAAAAATCTTCTTCTCAAGAATGACCAAGCCATAATTCATCATATTTATATGGAAGCATCCTCAGGGAGTGTAGATTCAAGTTTGTTCAAATCATGACCCCCCGGGGGTAGGGCGGGGTCAAAATGGCCGACCAAAGTTTTACATAGAAATATATAGGAAAATTCTTTAAAAATCATCTTCTCAAAGATAGAAAATCCATGATTGTTCATGGGACTACTTTTGGATTTTACCTTTTCAATAATAAACCAATGTATACTTTGCCTAGCCACAGTGCTCAGGTGAGCGATGTGGCCCATGGGCCTCTTGTATTTCATGATGGATCCTTTCATACCTTCAAAACCACAAAAATTAAACCCCTACAAATATAAGTGATTTCACAGTACATGTATTATAATTCAAATACACAAAAATGTTTTCACTTGATTTTTTTAAGCGGTTAGCTTTGCTAACCGCTTTATGGCATGTATCGACACCGGAAACTTCCATAAGGCGCTACCTATCGACAACGCCTCTACCTATGATTTGTTTCAAACACATATAACATATGCTAATTAAAATCAAGACTATCAAAACAACGTTATTTTCGGTTTTTAATTTTTCTCTGATTTTGTTTGTCAATGAAATAAATTATAATTGTTGTATTAAAAAATTTTATGTATAGGAGCATTTGGTGTCGAGATTAAATTTCCGTGACGTCAGCTGATGGCGATCAGGCCCTGTGACGAAATTCGAAGTCAGCATGAAGTTTAGCTGATAACATTATCAACGCGCTGGATTTAAACTTAAGGAAGAAATATATAGCGAGAAATATCATATTTGAACCCAATGCTTCACGAAAACCAGTAGGCATATCCGATTTATGTGATAAATTGAAGCCTGAATCAAGCAAGGGGTCAAAATGGCGTTGCACACCTTGTGTATACTTTATATAGAGGGGGTAGAATGTTTCGATATTTGGCTAATTTAGAGACTTACTGATTAAAATTCAGGTGGCTGTGATTAATTATAAGGCACCCCTCATGAACAATAAATATTTGACCGAATTATGCTATTGGCACAGGGAGGACGGGTTAATTACTGGCTAAAGGGGTTGAAGGTTATTACCGACTGCAAAACATCGGAGAATCTCTCGATCGAGTTTCCTTTTCCTTGCTAAAATATTAAGGCATCCCTTTAATTAACTTAAATAACACTAGTACATGAAGAAAGCCTTTATATAAAAAAAAATGAATACATCTGTAAGTTGTACAGTTATGGATTATTTCCATAATGAAACGTTTATTTTCTTCTCCTTTTTTTCTCAATTGAAATTATTTAAAAGATGATGAAAGCTTTGTTTCCAGGGATAAATTCTGTACTCAGTCTAATTATTACAAACGATTATAAACGATCATATTGATATTTAAATATTTGCCGACTCTTTTTTAAATAATTGTCATATACCATTTAATTATTCGAACATTTAATTGTATGAAAAGTCAATAATGTACATTTCTTAAAACTTTATTATCTTGTTTACTTGCCTTTCTTCCTGTGAGAGAAATAGTTCATGATATTGATAAACAGATGTACTCAGTATCTGTATCAAAATACAGAATAAACAGTGATCGGTCTCAAAAGGAAAACGGATCCTTGAAAATTCCGGTGCTGAGGAGAAGTAAGCATCCCCAATGACAGGTCACATCTGCTGACCCGCAGTGAGCCTACGAAACTGAAGCTCTCTGAAATTAATTAATTTACAAATTCTCTGCTCGTCCATCTGTTTTTCTCAGACTAGCCAGCTAAAGATCTATGTACAGTACTCCAAATAAATTAATCTAAAGAATTTGAATTATCATTTAATTTTCTTTTTGAGTTGTTTGCTATAGTAGCCTTTATAGTTACCTAATTTTAGAATCAATAGAGCATGAAAGACAATTCAATTTGCAACATCAACATATTTTTTTCGTTCTGAGCACTTTTGGACGCCACTAATGGAGACAATTAGGAAGAAATTTTTGAAATTGAACTTCCTGTCTTTCAAACTGAAAATCTCAGGTTGATATTTTGAAACATACATTTGTGACATCAGTCTGGGATGTTATTGGTTTTACCATTTTGTTAAGTACTACAAAAGTCAGTGTGTCTGCTTCTTCGCTGATGACAATGGACAAAGATATGCATGCTTACTTTAATATCATCACTCAATGCATTTTTTGTTATTCTCTCTGTACAGTCATATTCCATGAAAGCATGCTAACCGCTTTTCAGTACTTTCAGTACTTTGATTTGTCCTTAAATTAGTTTTAGGGTATTTTTGAAGTTTTGAAATATAATAAAAAAAATTAATTGAAATGATCAATATTAAAATTGATTAAAAATGAATTGACAGAGGCTGAGCAATATGCTGTCTGTGTATTATGCATTTCTTGTTATTGATATTGTAGACACTCCAGTACACGTGATTGTGTGTTTGAGTTCAAATGGAAGTCCATTGTTGCCTGCCAAGTGGAGAGGTAATAAAATTATCCTTTCAATTTTTATAAAGAAAATTGTAAAACAAGGTACCATTTTAATGATTGTCTAAAGATAAAAGAAATAAGAATAAAAGACTCTTTATATACAAAGATCTGTAATCTTGTCAATTACCAATTTTTTTCACCTGAAATTCAAAAAAATTTGCTTTGAATTAAAAACAAATGGAATGGGAAAATATTTTTTCATTATAGACACAGTGTTCAAGAAGACAGAGGCAAAATAATGGACCCCAAATCTGGTTCCATGATAAATATCACTAAGTTGTATGGGTAAGTTGTCTAACAATTTGTATCATAGCTCCTTATGAATTAAGGTAGTCCGATCCTCAGGTTTATAAAATTAGCAGTTAAGTAATCAAAAATACTCATAAAAGTATCTCTGAATCCACAAAAATATGTAAATTTATCCACAATATTTCTTAAAAGTTAAAGATTAAAGTTAATCATATTATATAGGGAAAAATGTCATATCTCCAATATTTTTGCAGAGAAAGCGAATTGGAATATAGCAATGCATTTTCTAATAGCAAATTGATCGACAACTATATTTTAGGTTAAAAAACTATAGGTATCCAGGCATTCAGAGAAAATGTCATGATTTTAATACGTATTTGGTATTTCTTGTCTTCTATTTCCATCATGTATTCTATAATACACTGTGTAAAAGGCTCTTGATATCATTGCAAGACACCACAAAACACTTTTCATTTCATATCATGCTAATAAACATTGGTATCTAAGCCTAGATTCATGAAAATCTTATTCTCTAAAACTGCATTAATTTTTTTTTCCTTTTTAAGGGTACAATTTTAAACTTTTATAAGACCTTTTCTAAGACTTCCAAAAACCTTTGAATCTAAAAAAGACGAATAAAATGAAAATTGTTGCATGAAAAAAAATTTCAGGCTTCATTTTGATGCCTTTTAATTTAAATAACAATTAAATTACAATTTTTGGAGTTATCCTTCCTGGCTTAGGATCGGATATCCTTAAGGATAATTATTAAAATGCAATTTGCCTTCTTATTAAAGAGCATTGTTCATACATGTTATCATTTTAAGAACAAAAAGGTTTGATTATTTTGTATTCTTAATAAAGATTTTGACTATTAGTAAAGGGTATACAGTCAATTCTCGAATTATCGCCATTCGATTCATCGCCATTTTCGCAATACCGCCATGATTTCCCAAGAACGTTTTTCCTGCTATATAAAATTCTCGTTATAACGCCAAATTCGCATACCGCCATCCGCCACCCTGTTTTCATAACAAACGTCCATTTTTAAGTGTCAATTATCTCGATATACCGCCACAGGTGCATGTGGTCAGTGAAGCGCGGCTAATTTGTTGACACTGTCCCTGTCGTAAAGCATGCAAAGCCAGACGAGGTACTTGCAATTATATAATTAAATAAAAATTAAATAAACAATAATTTTAACTTGAACTGTTATAGTAATTTCGTTTCCTGTTTAATAAAAAATCATTTAGTCAGGACTTCGCCACGAAAGCGGTTGTTGTTAAAGTTCACCAGTAACGATATTACTTTGATTATCTCTGCTTTAAACAATGCAAAGTTTGCTTAAAAAATAATTATATGGTAGAAATTGTGAACGCTTCATTAACTATGATGCCATAAACAATGAATTTATTGAAGAATTCATTTTAAGTACTATCCGCAATATATCACGACGATCAATTGAGCATATTTTTTTTTCAATATCAGATGTGCAGATTTACATGCATTCACATGTACTTATCTTTATTTCATAACTGCACATTTTGTTTTAGCAAAATTGTACATAAAAAAATTACTAGAAGTATTTTCAAATTTAGAAATATGTTTTTATATACATGTACATGTTATAATAAGAATAGAAATGCTTAATGGTATTTCTAAGAACGATAACTTTAATTCTTGTTTCCTAAAAGATGGGAAATTCAATTCATCACCAAATTCGTTATACCGCCATGATTTCTAAATTACAAAAGGTGGCGGTTTAACGAGAATTAACTGTATTTACAACCATTATTAGAGGATTTTTTCCTCCTTTCAGTCAATTTTGAAAGTGCATTTCCTAGTGTAATAATTGATAGGAAATTGTCATATAAATCAATTCATACATGTGACACCTGGCATCTTTCTTTCATCTGTATTGTCTGTCCAATGATACTTATATTTTCATTTTTTTTTCAGTATTTTCCTATTTATGCCCTCTTAACACCCCCCTCCCCCCCCCCCCAAAAAGCAAAAAGTCAATGTATACACATCCCCATCAGTAAAAGTTGTGAAATGTCCACTGTGACTGTTTTTTTTTTATGCCCCCGTAAATGAAATTTCGGGGGTACAGTACAATTTGTCTAATCCGGACTCTGAGTACTCCGGACTTTTGTCCATTCCGTCTATATATTTTAGTCCCATGCACTTCTTTAACAAATTCAATATAAAAAAATTCTGTGTAGTCCGAATACTGTCTATTCTGTATTCCGAACGGCCATACTAGTCCCAACTGCTCATAATTAACGGTAATTATTCCCTCTAATCAGGCCATACCTGAGTAACTTCAAAGCAATTAACACCTTTCGTGGTGGATGTGATAATCCGTGTTTACATTAGCATCATTAGTGCCATGAGACGAACTCAGTAAAATGCGGCGGTGACAAAGCCCACTTGGAAAATAAATTATATGATTAAATTACAATCGAAATAACTTTGTTTTAGTACTTTTACCACATTATAACATAAACACAAAAATATAGTTATGCGATTTACAAATCAAAATATAAATCGGGATCGAAAATCGAATGCATTTCAAAATGGCACCATAACACTGTGGGGAAGACGTAATTTTTTTACATAAAAATTAAAAGTTCAATCTAATAATAAGCACATCGTAAATAATTGTGCATTACCGGTAATGCCCCTGTACATTGAATGAGGTCTTTGACAAGCAAAACCCGGTCCACTTAATACATAGTAAGCCTATCTTATGCGTGCCTGTATACTTTGATCGAGGTAACATTTCACCCGACTTTCAAACTTCGCGAAAAAATAAGAAAATACAGTAAGTCATGTGAGACTATTTTATAATTCATAGACTCTAAAATATTAACTGATTTCATAATTTAATTTTATTTATAATATGTATATGATGTACTTGTGAATAAACAACGAAAATTTTAGAAATTGATATTTTCCAGCATTTTTCCTGCACTCCGGATTCTGTCTAATCCGGCCAAATTTTATGGAACCGGCGGTAGCCGGATTGGACAAATTATACTGTATATAGTTTTTGTCGTCTCTGTATGTCTGTCTCTCTGTTTGTCTGTTTTTCCGCATAAACTTTAACCTTGCCCATAACTTTTGATGTAGTGGAGCTATGACTTTCATATTTCACATGTGTATTCCTTGTGACAAGACCTTTCTTTGGGTACCACCAAATTTGACCTTTTGACCTTGACCTTGGAGTTTGACCCACTTTTACATGAAAATTTTAAACTTTTACTTTGGCCATATCTTTGGAACAGTGGATACCAGGACTTTTATACTTCACATATGTAATCTTTGTTGAAAGACCTTTCATTGGATACCAAAAACCTTGACCCATTGACCTTGACCTTGGAGATTTCCTTACTTGTGAAAAAAACTTTAACCTTGGCCATAACTTTTGAACGGTAAGGGATAGGGCTTTCATGCTTCATATGTGTAATCCTTGTGAGAAGACCCTTTATTGGATACGAAGAATTTTGACCCTCTGACCTTGACCTTTGAAACTGGCCTATTTTTAAAAATGCAAACATTGACCATAACTTTTAAATAGTTAGGGCTATTGCTTTCATACTTTACATATTTAACTCTTATGACAAGACCTTTCATTTGATAACAAGAACTTTGACCCTATGACTTTGACCTTGGAGTTTGACCTACTTTGTAAAAAAATTTAACCTTGGCCATAACTTCTGAACGGTAAAGGCTAGGGCTTCCATACTCTTCATAAGTATTCTATGTTGCAAGAGCTTTCATTTGATACCAATTACATTGACCTTTTGACCTTGACCTTGGAGATTTTTGTACTTATTGAAAAAACCTTAATATGGCTTATTTTCAAATTCACAATTTTTTTCCAGTGAGAATACCCTACTTTTGTTACCAATTAATTAATTTTGCATTTAAGAAAAGTTTAATCTTTACTACCGGTATGTTGCCATACAGGGGCATCTGTGTTTCACAAACACATCTTGTTTTCTTCTTTATCAGCCTGTACACTGTGTCTGGTGGCTCTACAGATTACCAGATTGACTTGTCAGGAGAGAGAACCTTCTGCTCTGGGCAGACAGTCGTGTGTAAGCTAGACAAGTCCCAGGATACGCAGACACCTGTAGGACTCAAAGCAGGTCGCCAGTTCTATATTGAAGGTAGGGTGAAAGTTTTATATTCTATATTGAAGGTAGGGTGAAAGTTTTATATTCTATATTGAAGGTAGGGTGAAAGTTTTATATTCTATGTTGAAGGTAGGGTGAAAGTTTTATATTCTATATTGAAGGTAGGGTGAAAGTTTTATATTCTATATTGAAGGTAGGATGAAAGTTTTATATTCTATATTAAAGGTAGGGTGAAAGTTTTATATTCTTTATTGAAGGTAGGGTGAAAGTTTTATATTCTATATTGAAGGTAGGGTGAAAGTTTTATATTCTATATTAAAGGTAGGGTGAAAGTTTTATATCACAGGCAGAGTAACAGTTTATGTTGAAGATATGGTTAAAGTTTTATACACTTTACTGAACTTACCCACTTAAAATTGGAAGTTATGGTTCTTGGGCCTGTGTGCAACTACTTTGAGGTAGCTGTTTTGCAAATTTTATCTTGTTTTTGGTACAATAGTGGTGGTCAGTCAGTGGCCAGAAAGCTCAGTCGTTAGAGCACCTGACTAGAGATTCAGGGGGTCAAGCTCCCATCCCAGTCTGGTCCACTACAATTTCTCCTCTACCGTTCCATTTGGTGCAATGCCATGCCCTGGAACTGACAGGTGAGAGGCCTGCCAGGGATGAGCCTGGATTGGGGTCTTTGAGGGGTATAGATCTGTAAGGAGGGAGGATCATAGTGGTTAGCCAGATTTGATCGCTGATGGCCAGATAGCTCAGTTGGTAGAGTACCTGACCAGAGATTCAGGGGTTGAAATCTTTGTCTGGTTCGACGCATTTTTCTCCTCTCCAGCTACACAATAAAAATTTGATAATGTGGAGACCAATCTGGAAAAGAACTTCTGCCATCATTGTCTCATAGTTTAATATTGGGATAAATCTGAAATGTTATTAAAAATTTGAGTCCTTTTTCAGATGACATTGTGGAAGTGGAGCTGAAAACAAACAGGAACTGTGATAAAGATCCTCAGAAGAAAGTGACCAGTATTATACAGTTCCACTGTAACCCTGGGGGAGTGGTAAGTTACCAGTATTATACAGTTCCACTGTTACCCTTGGGGGAGTGGTAAGTTACCAGTATTATACAGTTCCACTCTAACCTTTGGAGAGTGGTACATGTAAGTTGCCAGTATTATACAGTTCCACCGTAACCCTGGGGAAGTGGTAAGTTACCAGTATTATACAGTTTTACTGTTACCCTTGGGGAGTGGTAAGTTACCAGTATTATACAGCTTCACTGTTACCCTTGAGGAAGTGGTAAGATACCAGTATTATACAGTTTCACTGTTACCCTTGGGGAGTGGTAAGTTACCAGCAATAAACAGTTTCACTATCACCCTTGGGGAGTGGTAAGTTACCAGCAATAAACAGTTTCACTATAAACCTGAGAGAGTGGTAAGTTACCAGTATTATACAGTTGCACTGTTACCCTAGGAGAGTATTAAGTTACCAGTATTATACAGTTCCATAATCCTTGGAGGAGTGGTAAGTTTCCAGTATTATACAGTTCCACTGTAACCTTTGGGGAGTGGTACATGTAAGTTGCCAGTATTATACAGTTCCACCGTAACCCTGGGGAAGTGAAAAGTTAACAGTATTATACAGTTTCACTGTTACCCTTGGGGAAGTAGTAAGTTAACAGTATTTTACAGTTCCACTGTTACCCTTGGGGAGTGGTAAGTTACCAGCAATAAACAGTTTCACTATCACCCATGGGGAGTGGTAAGTTACCAGCAATAAACAGTTTCACTATAAACCTGAGGGAGTGGTTAGTTACCAGTATTATACAGTTGCACTGTTACCTTAGGGGAGTGTTAAGTTTCCAGTATTATACAGTTCCACTGTTACCCTTGGGGAGTGGTAAGTTACCAGCAATAAACAGTTTCACTATCACCCATGGGGAGTGGTAAGTTACCAGCAATAAACAGTTTCACTATAAACCTGAGGGAGTGGTTAGTTACCAGTATTATACAGTTGCACTGTTACCTTAGGGGAGTGTTAAGTTTCCAGTATTATACAGTTCCATAATCCTAGGAGTAGTGGTAAGTTACCAGCATTATACAGTTTCACTGTTTTACAGTAACCTTAGGGGAGTGGTTTAATCATATAAACAGTATAGGGGTTAAGGGGGGTGATCATTTTTGATAATGAAAAAAAACAAGTACTATTTTGGACACCATCAGCACTACAATAATTGGATGTTGAACTTTTTGTTTTTTGACAGAATGAACCTGAATTTCTCTTTGATTCGGTGGACTGTACATACATGTTTACTTGGGAGAACCCTTTCACATGTGCACATCCCATTGTGTAAGTTATTCAAAATTATCATACATGTTAACTCTCCCGATTTAGGCGGGAGTCTACCGCTTTTTCACTCCATCTCCCGCCTACCGATTTAATTCAGAAATCTACCGCTTTTCTACAAAAGCTGCGTCTAAAGTATTTTTGGTTCGCTTGGGTATCCATTTTTGAAGCCACTCTCATAAAATCTCGTTAGATATCGCGTGATTTGACTCGGAATCATACAAATGCTTTTTTTGTACATAGATTTCAAGCACGGATTTGACAACGACAACAACATAAGACTACCAGTGATTACATTGGTTACGATAAATTAATCAACATCCCTGCCATGAAAAAGGAGATACAGCTTTTAAGAATGAGATGAAAACATTTGACATCGTCTTTAAAAGCACAGAAGCTCACAACTTTATCAACAAAGTCAATAGAAATCACTCGATTAATCAAGCCATGTGGCACATCTCTACTTTCGTTTTCGATCATAGCGGGAAAACTGATTTATATAACTAAAGATAGGAACTTGTTTTAGATCTAGATTAAACCATGTCATCATTTGTTTTGTTTAAAAACTGAATGAACATTCAGAATTATTGCTTCTAGGCTATATCAGCAAAGATCACTCTTCAAAAGGCTAAGTAAAGCAGCCAATCCAAGCAAAATCATGAGCATGAAAAATATTTGAATTTGTACAATTCATGTCAAACTTAAGGTGTTTCTGTCTTCTTCTTTGTTGTTGATATTGAAGATTAATTAGTGTAGGTACCTGATTTCATTTAAGGCTTATAATATACATGTATATTACATGAAAGATATCGATAATCCAAGCATTCTGTTATGGGTCAGAATAACCCTAAATGCCAGCAAAGATCAATCACACAGTTTAAACTTAACAATAATTTATTTACAGTAATATACAAATCATTAAGTACAAACTTAGCAAAAATCTAAAAATACATACATCAGAGTGTCCGTTGCTGCACACAATGTCCCAGGGCAATTATATCCCAGTAATACCTCAATGATGCTTATACGACAATAGTCTATGCATCGAGTTGACAGGATATTTATACAGTAATATAAATCTAGAATATTCTAGAAATTGTTAAAACATGATATTACTGGAACAATCTGGACATACACAAAATTCAGGAATGTTCTAGAAACAATGACCGAACATATTGACCACTCTGGAATGTTCAAGAAACTTAATGTTACTAATAATATACAAGATGAAACAATACAAATACAACACATCTCACAACACCTCCCCCCTTAAAAAGTTTGAATGTCAATGAAAACTTATATTATTAAAATAAAAGTTTTGTACATTAATACAAAATCTAGTATGTTTACGATACTCTTGACAAGGCGTCTGCAATAACATTGTCTTTGCCTTTGATATGCTTAATTGTTATGTTGTATTCTTGTAACAACAAACTCCATCTAGTCAGTCTTTGATTCTTGTTTGACAATTTATGCAAAAATGTCAGGGGGTTGTGATCCGTATATACAAGAATTGGATGCAAAGTAACATTCAGATAAACATCAAAATGCTGTAAGGCTAACAACAAAGCAAGGCATTCCTTTTCAATGGTGGAATACTTTTGTTGACATTTTGTAAGTTTCTTTGAAAAATAAGAAACAACTCTATCTACATTATCACTATGTTCTTGAAACAAAGCTGCCCCGATTCCAACATCACTAGCATCAACAGTAAGCTTAAATTGCTTAGAAAAATCTGGAGTTGACAGAACTGGGTTGCTCATAAGGATAGATTTGATTTTGTGAAATGATTTTTCACAGTCCTTTGTCCATTCAAAGTTTACCCTCTTTTGTAAAAGATTTGTAAGTGGGCTAACTACTGAGGAAAAATTTGGACAAAATTTTCTGTAAAACCCAGCCATGCCCAAAAACCTCATTAACTCTTTCTTGTTTGTAGGAATCGGGAACTTTGCAATAGCTTCCACTTTAGCCATTATGGGTGTAACATAACCTTGACCTACTTTATGACCTAAATACTCTACATAAGCATGACAAAATTCGCTCTTCTCAAGGTTCACAGTTAAGTTTGCTTTAGCTAAAATGTCAAACAAAGCACGCATGATTCGGAGATGTTCGTCCCATGTGTCGCTGTATATGATGACATCATCAATGTAGGCCTCGCATCCCTCAAGGTCTTGAAGAAGGGAGTGAATCATCCTTTGGAATGTAGCCGGTGCGTTTTTCATGCCAAAAGGCATTACTTTATACTGGTAAAGTCCATCTGGTGTAGCAAAAGCAGATATTTCTTTTGCTCTTTCTGTTAACGGCACTTGCCAGTAGCCTTTCAACAGGTCAGATTTACTGACAAATTTCGCGTTTCCAATATTGTCAATACAGTCATCGATTCTGGGTATTGGATAGGAATCAGATTTGGTAACAGAATTCACCTTTCTAAAGTCTGTACATAATCGGTAGGTACCGTCCTGTTTTGGTACAAGAATACACGGTGAGCTCCAATTACTTTTACTAGGTTCAACAATGTCATTGTCCAACATATACTGCACTTCCCTTCTTAGGTACTGCAATTTTATTGGATTGAGACGGTACGGATGTTGTTTGATAGGCAGGGCGTCGCCAACTATAACATCATGACAAGCTGCATTAGTTTTCTTTGGAACATCCGAGAAGATTTGATGATACTCATTCATCAAGTTTTTAACTTGTTCTTTTTGGTGAATGTTCAAATGTCCAAGTTTGGAATCAAAATCAGCCAAAATTTCTGAGTTTTTCAAGCGGACACTCTGATTACAATCTTTCTCATTCATCTCTACACTCGTATCACTCTCAATACAATTTTGAACAGTCTTAGCATTGGCTAAAGTGGAAACTGGTTTTACAGAATTTCGGTCACACCTTTCAAAATACTCTTTTAACATGTTAATGTGACAAACCCGTTTCTCTTTACGTCGACCTGGTGTCTTAACTACATAGTTAACATCACTGATCTTGCTTTCAATTTCATAAGGGCCATAAAATCTGGCCTGTAAAGGATGACCAGGAATAGGTAAAAATACAAGAACCTTATCACCTGGCTTAAACACCCTATTTCTGGCATCTTTGTCATACCACATTTTCATTTTCATCTGAGAACTCTTCAAATTTTCTTGTGCTAATTTACAAGCATTGTAAAGTTTTTCTTTGAAATCAGACACATAATCTAAAAGATTAAGATCACTAGTCTCAGTCAGCCACTTTTCCTTCAACAATTTCAAAGGACCCCTAACCGTTTGACCAAACACCAATTCAAAAGGACTAAACCCAAGAGACTCCTGGACTGCCTCTCGTGCAGCAAATAGTACAAGATGAACCCCTTCATCCCAGTCTTTTTCATACTGGTAACAATAGGTCTTCAGCATTGTTTTTAGGGTTTGATGAAAACGTTCTAGCGCCCCCTGGGACTCAGGATGATAAGCAGTTGATCTATATTGCCTTATACCCAACTCATGCATGACTTGCTGGAACAACCCCGACATAAAATTTGAGCCTTGATCCGACTGAATTGCCTTGGGTGCTCCTACAAAACTGAAAAACTTGGTTAGGGCCTTCACTATGCTCTTTGCCTTTATATTCCTAAGAGGTATGGCTTCAGGAAATCGAGTGGATGTACACATAATGGTAAGTAAATACTGGTTTCCAGATTTAGTCCTAGGCAAAGGTCCTACACAATCCACCAACACTCGACTAAACGGTTCTTCAAAAGCTGGAATGGGTTGGAGAGGAGCAGATGGTATCTTCTGATTTGGTTTACCTACTATCTGACAGACATGGCATGACTTGCAAAACTTCGAAACATCCTTTCTTAACTTAGGCCAATAAAAATGACTCAAAATCCTATTATAAGTCTTATTGATACCTAAATGACCAGCCATAGGTGTATCGTGAGCTAAACTCATGACATCTCGACGATAAGCAGCTGGGATCACTATCTGGTGAACAACACGCCACACTTCATCTGGGGAAGCGTCAGGTGGTCGCCATTTTCGCATAAGGATGCCATCTTTCATATAGAAGCATTCTCCAACTTTAGTAGCCTCTTCTGGTGGAAGTGCCCTCTTACTAAGTTGAATGATATCTGGGTCTTTATGTTGTTCAGAGAGTAAACGTTCTCGGCTGAGGATGTCCTTGCCTTGGCTAACTAGTGGATGCAACTCATCATCCTCACCACCAAAGTTTGGTAAAAGTTCTTTCTTCTCTTGCTTCTTGATATTGTGTGGTTCAATGCTTGTTTGAGTGCCATCAAGGTCAGATAAGAAAGTGTCATTCAAATCAATATCAACAGAGGAATTCGTCTCGTCAAAGGCTTGAGAATGGTCTGCCTCCATTTCTCGTCTTCTGGCCATCGCTCTAGTAACAGCACAGGCTGAATAAATGTCATCATCTTCATCATCGCACATGACATTGGAAGTGATTTTCTCACAAACTATAGGATCAGGTACAACCTTCCCACCAGCTAAATCGTTGCCTAACAACAAAGTAATGCCTGGAACTGGAAGAGTAGGTCGAACACCTACGATAACAGGTCCAGTAACTAAATCTGACTTCAAACTAATTCTATGCAGGGGAACATCAATGACGCCTAGCTCCACACCCTGTAATAAAACTGACCCACCAGTAGAAGTCTGCTCAGACAAAGGAAGCACTCCCTCTAACAATAACGTCTGTGCAGCACCAGTATCTCTCAAAATCTGGACAGGTTTTATTTCGCTAGAGTCACCGAGTGAAACAAATCCCTGAGACATAAAGGGCTTATAATCCTCCATAGAATCAATAGAACTGGACTGTGAACCCTGGACATCAGGGGTGTCAGAACAAATCGAAACTATGGCTTCTCTATCACCTCTAACTGCCGCACAAGCATGTGGTTGAGTTTTATCAAAATCATTTTTTCTCTTAAGTTTAAAGCATTCACTGATCAAATGACCCTTTTTCTTACAATAACTACAAGTAGGAAGCGACCCTATTCCAGAAGATCCTTCAAAACGTCCTGGACCGGACTTAGAACCACCTTGGGATGGAGACTGGGAACTTGTGAAAGACTGAGACCCTGAACCACTCTTTTTATATGTGTCTGAATTGGTAGAATTACTGCTAGTCTGAGTTCTTGATACAAAATTCTTTTTATGAGACAGAGCATAAGTATCAGATATGACTGCTGCCTCTTCAAGAGTTTTCACATTCTTATCTTCTAAATATGTTTTCAAATCTTGAGGAACACATTCCTTAAACTCTTCTACCAGGATGACTTGGCGCAAATTAGCAAAAGTTTTATCAAGTTTCTTAGATCTAAACCAGTGATCGAATAAATCTTCTTTCTCTCGTGAAAATTCAACAAATGTTTGATTATCAAACTTTCTATACTTTCTGAACTTTTGTCTATACGCTTCAGGTACTAATTCATATGCTTTTAATATTGCTGCTTTGACCTTCTCATAGTCTAAACTTTCAGCTACCCCTAGTGCAGAGTATACCTCAGCTGCTTTGCCAACCAGTACACTTTGTAACATCGTTGACCAAACATTTCGTGGCCATTTAAGATTCTCTGCGACTTTTTCGAATTGGGGAAAATATTTGTCTACAGATTTTTCTTGAAATTTCGGAACTAATCTGATATTTTTTGCTGCGTCAAATTCAGTTTTGACAACTGACGGTCCTGGTTGGTTCTGTAATTTTAATTTCTCTAATTCAAAGTTCATTTCACGCTCTCTTTCTCGCTCTTGTCTTTCTCTTTCTCGCTCTTCTCTTTCTCTTTCTAATTTGTCTAATTCAAATTTCCGTTCACGCTCTCGTTCTTCAAATCTCATTTTTTCCAACTCTACTTGATACTGAAATTCTGACATATTATAAGATTCTGATTTAAGTGTATAATCTGGAAGATCATATTTTCCAAAGATGTTTTCTTCAACTAGTTTGTTTGCAACCTTTATTCTAATGTCTTGCTTTCTCTGTGAAGATTTAACCTCTAACCCAAGATGCAAACCTAACGCGATCAAGTCATCCTTTTTTAACGTATCAAAAACCTGAACACTTGGTGAACTAAGAAAGTCTGTGACCGAAAATACCATGTTGATTTTTGCTGGCTTATAGTCAAATTTAACGGTTCAATAAACAAAATTTTGACAATAAACTGCAAAAGTGCAAGAAATTCTTTATCCCGGACGAGCCCCCAATTCTGTTATGGGTCAGAATAACCCTAAATGCCAGCAAAGATCAATCACACAGTTTAAACTTAACAATAATTTATTTACAGTAATATACAAATCATTAAGTACAAACTTAGCAAAAATCTAAAAATACATACATCAGAGTGTCCGTTGCTGCACACAATGTCCCAGGGCAATTATATCCCAGTAATACCTCAATGATGCTTATACGACAATAGTCTATGCATCGAGTTGACAGGATATTTATACAGTAATATAAATCTAGAATATTCTAGAAATTGTTAAAACATGATATTACTGGAACAATCTGGACATACACAAAATTCAGGAATGTTCTAGAAACAATGACCGAACATATTGACCACTCTGGAATGTTCAAGAAACTTAATGTTACTAATAATATACAAGATGAAACAATACAAATACAACACATCTCACAACAGTTAAAACAACACGCGCGCAATGCTACCGCTTTTGAGGTCTGAATCTCCCTATTTTTCATCACAATAGGTTAACATGTATGAAATTATATACATTCAAGATAAATTGGAATTCATAAATATTTTGTCTATTATATTTTAAAAATACCAATAACATGTAATCATTTCTTCCTATTTCATGAAAATAAAGTGTTGAGAAAATATGATCCATTATTAAATATTAATTTCCACAAGTACTGTGTTTATTGGGCTGTATGGTGTACCTGGTTATTAACAGTGTGAATCCTCAGCCTATAGGAGATAAGACATCATCACAAACAGCATCATCCAGTGATAAATCTAAAACAGTGGGCACCATTGTAGCTGTCTTCCTTACTGCCATTGTTATATGTCTGCTGCTGATCGTGTTCCATAAGAAGGAGAGGAGGTTTGTATATACAGTATTGACACATAATGACACATCTATTGTAAGCATATTGGGGAATACACAAACACATAACATACATGTACTTAAAACTAAAGTTTATATGTGATTTTATTGCTTTGGTTGTTCCATCATTGTTTTAGACCATATCTGTGAAGCCTTTTTAGTTAAGACGAGTTCCACGTATGCTGAATCAGCATTCCTGGGATTATTCATTCACTAGAGAGATGATTGCACCATGTAATATTTAGAGATGATAGCATTATTCAACTGTTAAAGATGCAAAGCCACCATTTAATTATACCCCTGTTCTGAAGGAGAGGGGAGTATACTGTTTTACCCTTGTGTGTCTGTCCGTCTGTCTGTGCGTTACAAATTTTTGGTTGAGTTTTCTTAGCAACTACTCGTGGCAGATGTTTGAAATTTTAGCACATTCTTGTTGAGCCATGCCATATGGTGGGATTAATTTTTGTATGAATCTGATATCAACTTCCTATTTATCTGTGCATCTGCCTGTAACTGTACTTCTGTTTATTATTAGCTCTTCTGAGCCAAAGGCTCAAAGAGCTAATGCTATGACCATTTGTGCAGTGTGCGTTTACTTTTTAGAATATGGGCCATAACTCAAGAACCCCTTGGCCAGTGTCAAATTTGTCACAGGGTATCCTTGGCCCAAGGGCTACCATTTGTACTAAAATAAGGGTTGGGACCCTAAAACAAGGGGAGATAATCAGGAAAACAAATCCAAAAGTACTGGTTGCTAAAAAATCTTCTTCTCCAGAACCACCAGGCAGATTTTCACCAAACTTACACACAAGGATCAGGATATGTTGAAGATTAAAAATTGTTCAAGGCATGATCCTGGGGCAAAGGGCGTGGTCTCAAGGTCACTTCAAAGTTGTCCTAAATTTACAATTAATAAAAATGTTTATATTTTGCTTACTATAAGGACTAGGATCATCAAATCTTGTAAGTTGATGCATCTTAGGACTTCACATCATGTTAACTCAAAAGTAGGTCACGGTGACCTACTTTTTTAATTTTGAAGGCATTTGTTTTCAAATTGATTTGAAGGCATATTTTGGACACTTTAAGGCCTATGATCATCAAACTTTGTCAGTTAATGCATCTGGGATCCTTGAACAACATCAACTTAAAAGTAGGTCACCGTGATATTTAAGTATCTCCTGTACTAATTGGCTTAGAATCATCAAACTTTGTCAGTTGATGCATCTTGGGTGTTCGGAGAATGTTGACCAAAAAGTACTTTTGACATTTTTTGGCTATATTTAAGTATCTCTGGTACTTATTAGCTTAGAATCATCAAACTTTGTTAGTTGATGCCTCTTGGGTTTTCAGAGAATGTCGACCAAAAAGTAGGTCATTGTGACCTTCTTTTGAATATTTCAGGTATTTATTGGCTTAGAATAATCAAACTTAGTCAGCAGATGCATCTTCGGACCCTGAAAAATGTCAACTAAAATGTAGGTCACAATGACCTACTTTTGACATTTTATGGCTATATTTAAGTAACTTATGTATTTATTGGCTTAGAACTTAGAATAATCAAACTTTGTCAGTTAATGCATCTTGGGTTTTTCTAATAATGTAGACCAAAAAGTAGGTCAAGGTGACCTACTTTTGAATATCTTAAATACTTATTGGCTTAGAATCTTCAATCTTAGTTTGTCTGTGACCTCCTCATGTTTTTTTTCTAGCTTTATTAAAATATCTTCAGTCCTAATTGGCTAAGAATCATCAAACTTTGTCAGTTGATGCAACTTGGGTCTTATGATACTTAGGGTTACTTGAGGGTTAGAGGCTTCAAAAATACAAGTGATAGGTTTTACAATTTATCAGAAGAGTGATTTAAGGCCCATGGGCCTCTTGTTATGATCATAATGTATATTCTCATCAGAGCGGGGGTATCACTAATAAGCATTGGCTCACAGACTTCTTGTCTTTCAAAATATGATGTGATGGGCTAAGCTGTATATAAGCATTGTTATATTATATTATAGGGATGCTGTGATCTCAAGAATAAGAAGCTTTACCAGAAAACATTCCGCAAGTTACAGATATACTGAGGTAACTAAAGGAATCAAAGGATTGGATATTGTTTTAGAATCAGAAAATTAATAGTTAGATTAAACTTCATTCGGTAAATGATTACTGGTACATGTTAGTTAGATTAAACTTCAGTCAGTAAATGATTACTGGTACATGTTAGTTAGATTAAACTTCAGTCAGTAAATGATTTCTGGTACTTGTTAGTTAGATTAAACTTCAGTCAGTAAATGATTACTGGTACTTGTTAGTTAGATTAAACTTCAGTCAGTAAATGATTACTGGTACTTGTTAGTTAGATTAAACTTCAGTCAGTAATGATTACTGGTACTTGTTAGTTAGATTAAACTTCAGTCAGTAAATGATTACTGGTACTTGTAAGTTAGATTAAACTTCAGTCAGTAAATGATTACTGGTACATGTTAGTTAGATTAAACTTCAGTCAGTAAATGGTACATGTTAGTTAGATTAAACTTCAGTCAGTAAATGATTACTGGTACTGTAAGTTAGATTAAACTTCAGTCAGTAAATGATTACTGGTACATGTTAGTTAGATTAATCTTCAGTCAGTAAATGATTACTGGTACTTGTTAGTTAGATTAAACTTCAGTCAGTAAATGATTACTGGTACATGTTAGTTAGATTAAACTTCAGTCAGTAAATGATTACTGGTACATGTTAGTTAGATTAAACTTCAGTCAGTAAATGATTTCTGGTACTTGTTAGTTAGATTAAACTTCAGTCAGTAAATGATTACTGGTACTTGTTAGTTAGATTAAACTTCAGTCAGTAAATGATTACTGGTACTTGTTAGTTAGATTAAACTTCAGTCAGTAAATGATTACTGGTACTTGTTAGTTAGATTAAACTTCAGTCAGTAAATGATTACTGGTACATGTTAGTTAGATTGGGGTATTAAATATCTAAATAGGCTATGAAATATTTTCTTGTATCAAACTTTTTACGACTTAAGTGCTGATCAGTCAAAAGTATCAAGTAGTATAAAATAACAAAAGAAAAATTGGGGTCAGTAATGTTAATCTTGAAATATTGGTCAAAACGTGATTTTCAGGCAAAAAATGGTGTGAATTTTATCTTGACTTCTCATAGATGTTTTCTGGAGTTAAGAAATATTGCTGTTTTACAAAGCCTGTTATCCAATACTTTAATTCTGTGAGAGAACTTTATGAAAGGAATGGACTCAGTATGATAGTCAGATAAAATGTGTCTTGACAAGGTCATTTTATGCAAAAAGTGAACTAATGGCTTTTAACTGTGTAGAATTAACATTCATACATTGAATGGTAAATAGTAAAGCCATTAATTGGTACATGTAGAATAAAACAGTATTGGATTTGTACTTGTAGAATATGGCACGTAAAACATAGACTTGATAATTAGATATTTGTCAAGGCACCTAAACATTGATGGTACATTTTGTATTAAGTACTGTAGATCGCTAAATTTCGCGACATCTTATTTTCGCAAGATATCTATTTACTCTTTATAAGGGAGACAAAATTTTCGCGAATTGTGATTACTGCTCAATATAATCTTAAGAAATACTTATATACGCGATAAAGAAATGTTTGCGAGCAGACTGTCTTGCGTAATTACGCGAAAATTAAGGTCTCGCGAATAAAAAGTGATTTACAGTACATAGAAAACTAAACTCAATGATTGTATTGGTGTATTTTAGAATAACACTAGTATGTCAACAGAAGCCAAAGACTCTAATTTATATACAGTTGTTATTGTTTGATTGAGTGGTGATTACATATGTACAGGTCCATTATAACTAAGATGAAATATCTGGAGATAAGGAGTATTATCATATATTAATGATATAAATGTTTCAAGACTGAAGTAAAAGAAGCAGTCTCTGTATCATATTGTTAGTCACAAATTACAGTTATAAAGATAACAAAGGAGAGTGATAGTGACCAGACATAGGAGGTAGTTGTGAAATAGGATCTTATTGTGTTTACAGCTACCCTCCAGTGAAGAAGCAGATGACCTTCTCCCCGAGATCTCTGCAAATGACCTTGGAATAGAAGGGTCAGTACAGACTTCCTCAAATGATGATGAAGTCAACATTTTACAAAGTGAGGCTCCTCCTCCTGTGTGCAGTTACCATGACGACAGTGATGAAGAGCTATTAGCTTGATGACTGAAATCCTAAGATCCATATCAAACTCACCACTATCATAATGTTCTGTGATGTGTGCCTTTATGTCAAATGTAAAGTGGAAGAAGAATGCAGTTATATGACAAAAATGTGTACTTGTGTAATATATGAGATGAACATTAGTGATTGAAATTTGAGTGTGTGGTGAGCACTGGTGACAAATGTTTGACTGGGTAGTGTGGATTATGTTTGACTGGGTAGTGTGGATTATGTTTGACTGGGTAGTGTGGATTTAGGATGAATGTATATCTGTGGGTGGTGAATTGGTGCCAGATGTGTGACTATGTGGTGTGTTATAGTGGCATATGGGTGGTTGTGTGGTGTGCTGTGGTGACAGGTGTGTGACAGTCAATCTACAGGTGTATGACTGTTATTGTACACTGGTGACAGAGGTTACTGGGTATTACTTTGATATCTAACTGAATTCTGTCTTTCATTTTGACCACTTCTGCAGTGTAAATACTCTTAAATCTCTTACTGCTCTCAAGAAATCTTTGATGCTTAAATTAAAAGTATACATGTATGTATTTATTAGGTCAGTGACCTATTTCCATCTGTTTTCGTCAGTTGTCTTGCATTGTGTATTAACATTTTCAGCTTCATCTCCGTAGCAACTGTTCAGCCAATTTTGGCACAAAGCATCTATGGGTGAAGTGGAACAAAAATTGTGAATTTCATGGTCGCTGCCTCCCTGGGGCCTGAGGGGTGGGGCCAAAATCACTAAAATTAGTGCAATTTTTAAAAATCTTCTTCTTTGCTCCAGGACATCAAGCAGTCAAACTGTTGGAATGATTGTCATCAGCACTGAACACTCTTCCAAAATTTTAAAATTTATGGCCCCAGGGTCAGGAGTTCTAGTGCTGGCTGCACAGAATTTCATCAAACTTTGCAGATATTTAGGACACAATGTGTAGATGTGCATATTACCAGGAAATTTCTGATTTCTTTATTTTTTCCAAGAATTCAGCACTTTTACACTTAGATTTTTGGCGATATCTTGAATATAGAGATGAACAGTTTGTCAGCGCAACTCATCATAAAACGCTGCACAGAATTTCGTCAATCTTTGCAGATATTTAGGAAACAATGTATAGTACCAGGAAATAGGTATTTCTTTATTTTCACCTGCAATTTCAGCACTTCAAGTTTCAAGGTGGGTGGGGTATGTGAGCTTGCTCACTTTTTCTTTCATTTCTTTGAAAATCTTTTCTGCTCCAGGGTATTAAATAAACTTACCAAGTACCGTATAGCGGGTAAACCCTTGACGGGTTTAAAATTTGGCGTTTTGCCTCCAGAAAGGCATGCCAATAATTTTGGCGGAATTTATTTTAGCGGACACAGGGTTTCATCTCTTTGCAGATGAACACTAAGAAGACTAAGTTAATTGTTAACTGGCTATTTTAGCGATGTTGTTATGTTATGTTGAATAAGGCTGCTTATTCCAAATTCTGCTCTTTGGTTAACAATTTATGATGAAATAAATTTTGAAATATTAGGCCCCATGGTCAGTGGTTCCTGTGGGATGGGGTGCATAAGTGTTGGTTATAAAGTGAAAATACATTTTCTTTTTGTTACTCTGATCTACCTCTGGGTATTAAGTAACCAAAGCAATCATGCTAAGTGTATAATTAAGATAAAAACAATGGTGCCTCTTTCAAAATTATGAATTTCATGGCTTTTGGTTTTTAAAGAAACATGAACCAAATTCAATTATTGGAAAGTTATACATGATACTCGGGTGACATATAAGGCCTGTGGGCCTCTTGTTTTACATGAACAATTTGTATAGTTTTGAACTTGTGTACATGTATGTTAATTTATGAATGTGTTTAAATTTCATCTGTAGAAGTTTTACATGCTACATATATAAGCCCAAGCATTTATTCTCACTGTGGGCTAATTGATTTGATCAGCATTAAAGTTTCCCATATTTGATAATGGTAAAATTCACTTAGTAAAATGTTACAGATTACTAGTATTTACATGTGATTGAGCTTACATTTTACTGGTTTTGACAGTGTGAAGTCAATGATTTCAGTATGCGTCCTATTTATAGTATCAATTTTGTTTGTTAAAATGAAAAAAAAAGTTCAATTTGAATATATATGTAAGAAGAAAACTGCACTTTGCATATCAACATAATCATTCATATTATACAAAAGTGATGAGAATTACATAGAAATGAATGGAGTATGGTTGATATTTCTGTATTTGATTTAGGTGATAATGATGACTTGTGATATTTATGGAAATTCTAATATATTGTGAACAAAGGATGAGTTTTGGAATAGTGATGACAAAGTCATGAAAATGTTTAACTATGTTTATTTTACTGCCTTGATTTTCTTTTGTTGTATTGTTTCTTTGCTTAGAAGAACAATATATGAATAATATACATTGTGTTTATTATAAAAATCAAGGTTTGTTTATTTGCTCTAAAAGATTGATTTAACATGAGTACGTTTTAGGTCTTTTGAGTGCCTCAGATTGTTTTTGCCCTAGCAGTAATTCTGTCATTATTTACTACAAACACTTACGTACATGAAACAAAACATATAATTGACTATAACTCCTTTTATAATTCTCTGATGCCTTTTCAGCTTTTCTGGGTCAAAGGTTCAAAAAGCTAATGACATTCCAAAATTGTTCTCTGTTCAGCATCCATCAAATTCCTACTTAACTGTTTGGGAAAAAATACAAGCCAAATAAAGCAATTACATGTATTCTACATGTAATCAAACAAGAAGGGAAATTGCCTGGATGTCAAAGATTCTCAGAGAATATTCCTGATCCTTTATGTTTTTTTTATGAAATGGAAATTCAATGTCAAAACATCAAGTTTGATGTGGATGCTAGGCACAGGAAAAATACTAAAATGGTAAAAATTCATGGCATCTGCAGGGTGTGTGTCAACCTTTTGGAATTAGGAAATTATATCTGAAGAGATGATCAAATTTGTCACAGAATATCCTTCGAGCATGGGCTTTTATTCTTACACATTGTAAAGATGTGCTTAATCGAGGGTTGTGTTTTTCCTCTCCTTAGGAAAAACTGGTACAGATTATGATTATCATAATATAAAGAATTTAAATTCAGGGCTTTTACTAAATATTTCAGATTCTGAAAGGGTTACATGTAATATTATCAAACTTTGTCGGATGATGCATCTTGGGTCATTAATTAGCACATACCATTTCATGGTGTAGTTCAACTTAATTTTCCAAACAGCGAGCAGGCTTTGACACAAAGAAAATAAAAACAGGCTTGCTGTATATGGTTGTGTAGATAAATAATCATAGAATGCAATCTTTGATGTTAATAAACTGTGTGCCAGTGTATTTCCTATGAAAGTGTAAATGATTGCGATTTTGAGAAGGGGGGTACACCATGTAATTCAGAGTTGGATCCCTTGTAGTACTATTTTACTATGTGTTACAAGTTTATTACAGTAACAGGTGCCTGTGCCTATAACAGGCATCAACATACAAAGTTTGCTGATTCTTAGATTTGGTATCTTAAATTATTTAGATTAAACATTGAAATTCCAAATACAAGCTTAAGTACGTCACCATGATCTAAATTTTGGGCAACACTCAAGCTACATCAGATGACAAATTGTGATGCTTTTAAGCATTAAAATTAATTAATCTTTAAAAAGTGTTCCTTACTCCAGGACCTGGACATCAAGAAGACAAACTGTTGGTATGGTTAGATAATGGCATTGATGAGCATTGACTCCTCTACCAAAATTATGAAATTCTTAGCCCCAGGGTCAGGAGTTCTAGAGCTAGGGCGGGGGAAGTGAAAATGCATATTATTTCTTCTTCTCTGCTCTTTTCTCGAGAGGGACGATAAACAATATACAATCAATCAATTCTCTGCTCCTGAGCATTAAATAAACAAGGGCCTTTCACAATTGGCGCACGAGCAAAAGCGACAAAATATTCGTGCGACCAGGGACCTATATACTAACCAGTTGTACCAGTTGATATATAGGTCCCTGGTGCGACCGAAAAACTTTTATTTGGATCGTAAGTTGTTGCTGTAATAATCGCATATGAAAAAGTATTCGTACGAAATTCTCACGATCTAAAGCGACCGTTGTGCATTTAATCTTACGATTTATATATGCGACTGTTGTACAATGAAAGTGAGTGTTGTAAGAGAATGCGAAAGGATCGCGCGAGTGATCAGATAATCGAACTATTGAACGTGCACCAATGCGTTTGGTCGGAAGGCGCTCGTGCAATCATGCGTTTCATGGTACGAATGATCGTGCGAGTGAAAAGGGTAATACACATATAAACTACCCGTTTCCGACCCTCGTCAGTCGAATGCAAGAGATGCCGTTCAAAAAGATTACAAAAACTATAGGTAAAGCCAAAGTAAACCGTAAAAAAAGGCCCAGAAGGAAGAGGCTCAGGACCTGCCGCAGCAGCCGAGCCCTGTTCATAATCCGCCTGAGCTTGTATCGGTGATGCAACATCTATGGTCGATTGTGGTCTGAAACAGAGATGCTTATACAGGGTTTACATATACTAGTGACAAAGCAGTGGGAAATTGAAGCTGATAAATCATGCATAGTAAAACGTTGCAAGATTACATGAGACACGTTGATCAACAGTCTCATGGTCGCACAACACACGCACATACAGCTGCGATTTATCTTGCGACCTTTAAAAATCGTGCATCACTCTTGCGAGTACACAAAAAGTTGAAGACGCTCGTACTAATATTCGTACGATGAATTGCGATAAATGTGGATCGCATTTGGTCGTGTCTGAATAGTGTGCATGTCGACTATTTTGAGGAGACTTGGTGCGACCACTAAAACGCAAGCAACGAATGCGAAACATCGTGCAACGCATGCGATAGCTCGGCGAGAGCTCGTTCGAAGCTAAAATTTTCCGATCGCAAAGCTAGTGTTGTAAAGCTAGTGCTCGTGCGCCAATTGTGAAAGGGCCTTAACCAAATGTATAGTTATGTTGAATAAGGCTACCTCTTCCAAAATTGTGAATTTCATGGCCCCAGGATCAGGAGTTCTAGTGCTAGGGTGGGGCTATATGCCGAGTAAAATTATTTAGTGAAATTGAGTTATTTCTTTGAGAATCTTCTCTGCTCCTAGGTATTAAATAATCTAACCAAGTGCATAGTAATGATGAATCAGGCTAACTCTTCCAAAATTGTGAATTGAATTTTATGTGGGAGTATCCTGGGGGTAGTGTAAATTCTAAAGTATTAAAATCAGGACCCCGGGTGTAGGACGGGGCCACAATAGGGATATCAAATTTACCATAGAAATTGTATAGAGGAAAAATCTTTTAAATTTTTTTTCTCAAGAACCACTTAACCTGGAAAGGTTAAACTTATGTGGAAGCATCTTTGGTTAGTGTAGATTCTAAAGTGTAAAAATCATTACCCCCAGGGGTAGTGAGGGGCCACAATAGGTAATCCAAATTTTACATAGAAATACGGTATATAGGAGAAATCTTTTTCTCAAGAACCACTTGGCCAGGAAAGCTGAAACTTGAGTAGGAGCATCCTGGCGTAATGTAAATTCTAAAGTATTAAAATCATGACAGGGGAGGGGAGTAGGGGGCACAATAGGTGTAACAAGAGGGGAAATTTGGTATAGAGCTGCATCACCAAAGTTATTCAGGTGAGCGATGTGGTTCATGGGTTCTTGTTTTATCTCGTAATAACGGAATCTTTTTTTGATAGGTCCTAAATGGGCTTCCGTATCCGTTCAATTATGTGTCGGATCAAAAAGTAAACGGACGTACAGCGAGACGGACGGACATACCTATTACTGCATACCCTCCTGCTTTTAAAGCGGGGTTATAAAAAGGAGCTGTAATATTACACTTTATATGTTGATCAGACGATAAAATAGAAGACCATATATAAAGTTCTAACACACCAAGTGTAGAGCCCATTACTCTCCCGTAAAACTGTGCATGCTGTGTCTGATATTTTTTATACCTCCCGCTAGGGAATCGGTATGTCCGTCCGTCCGTTTAGCTGTACGTCCGTCCGTCTGTCTGTTACGCTTTGGGGTACCAATCTCTTATCCGCAACTCCTCTCAAACCACTGAATGAAATTTGATGAAACTTTCACAGAATCTTTATTACATATTGCTTTTGTGCACCCCCTATTTAACTTTTTGATCCGACACATATTTTGGGTTTCCAACAGCAAAACATGGACACTGCCATTTAATACATATGGGAGGCGGGGGTATCATTTAGTGAGCTCATTGCTCACAGTACCTCTAGTATTATCCGAGTCTGTAAATAACGGAAGCCCGTTGAGGCCAGTTCAGAGAAAGAAATATTTTTTTATTGCGTTTAAGCGCAATAAAAAATATTTCGTTCTGTCTGTACATCGCGTTTAAACGCAATAAAAAATATATCTTTCTCTGAACTGGCCTCAACGGGCTTTCGTAGGAAAGTCCTATATTTATATAAAGTAATAAACAAATTATTAAAAGATCTTTTTAATTTTAGTTAGTCTGAACTTATAAAAAATACGCCATATATGACTTTAAGATGAGAACATGTTTCTGTGTCCATACACGAAGACGCGACTGTCGATTGGAAGTAGAGGAGAATGCAGACTGGGTGTTTAATGTTTGACTTGGAATATTATCTTCAGACAGGGATAATCTGTTAAATAAAAGGGTCAATATGTTTGCGCATTTTGTCGTATCATGGACTTAGGGCACTGGAAAACCATGTGCCTCCTACTTCGATTCGCCATCATTTACGACAAAATTATTTTTGTTTCAAGCAGACCTAGACTTTTTTTTTTGAGAACCCCGGTTACATGTCGCATTGCAGATTACACTTTAGCACAGAAACATACGAACAATTAATTATTATGCATATTGAAATTAACTATAATCACATGTACAGTAACGAAGAACTCGCTATAAACATTGGAGACTAAATATTTTTTTTACCTTTTGTAGTCTTTCTTAAAACCTATTTTTAACTTGAACATGACCCGAAGTCACAGCCTCTTGTCAGTTTTAAATTAACGTCTTTTCCAATGAAAAATAAACTTTGTAAGAAATTTGATATTTACACCGTCAACAGTTCATGAAAATTCCGTTTGATAATTATAAACATTATCGTGAAAGAGAATTTAAAGTTTCGTGCGAAATAATTTTATTCATCGTTTATGTTATGATTTGAGAATATTTGCAATAAACTAAGCAGAAGAGCGTGCAGTGATGTCTATTAGGTAAGTCAACTCCAGATAGAGGTCACAGTCAAGTGTGACACATTATTTTGCGGCCTTTTCGGAACCCCTCATCGAACAAAGAATCGCCGTGTTTACCTGTAGCTGCTCTGGGATATTATTAGAAAGTTAAGGTACATCTCCACCACCAGGCGCCGAATCTGAATCTAACAAGCACCTAGATATATTGCAGGACTATTTCAAGGTAGGTATTCAAATTAATTTTACATTTATATGCTAGGTATAAAGTATGTGGAGTCGATTTGTCAAAATTTCATATTGCTGCAGAAAGAAACTTGGAAACGAGAGTGACTTTACAAGTACATTTTCCTTCTTAGCTTTTATTCAGAAGATATGGCCTATTAAACATAAAAAAATATCCTTGGAAAAATTTATTGTCAAATATGTTTTAACATAAAAGATTGCCTTAGGTTAAAAGGAGCATTTACTGGTATTCGGTAATATATCAAACAGAGAAAAGAAGATGCACATATTTAATGAATGTTTACCGACATCAAATTGTTTAACTTAAAATTTTATTTTATTATTTTTTTTTTCAAATTTCAATAAAGTTTAAGGTTCAAGCCATTTTCAAATATGTTTTCATGATATAGAAAATTAACCCACCCCACCCTCATTATAAAGTAATAAAAATCAAATAAAGGGTAAAATTGATATTAATTTTAAAAATATTTTTATTTTATCGGCGCATGATAATGACACCGTGCCTGAATTTCTGAAAATATCTGACACTTTTCTCAGAAGTTTGCTTAACTATCTCATTGTCTCCAAATCACAAACTAATCATCGGTTCTGAAAGTTTTTCTGGAGTACTGCGTTTTTATCATTTATTTCCCATCCCACCCATCCATATCTTTTAACCTTTTTTTTATTAGCCTTCCAATTAACTTCCTAGAGATCTTTCATGCTCGTGGAATATTTTATTCATCAACTTCTGCCTTATTACTGGAGACACTGATTGATACAAAAAAGTTGCGCTCATCTTCGGATTACGGTATTTTCTCCAGTCTTATTCATGCTTAACAATTGTCCATTAGACATCAAACGTGGTCGATAAAGCTACAGTGTAATGATTGTAATTTGTATCTCATATGTACATGTATATTAAAAAGAAGTTTGGGTTTCTCATAATTGTATCTACATGTATTTAATCTGAGATATTTGGGGATCAGGTCTTACAAACAATCTTTTTTGAATGACCGTGGGTACCATTTGCGCCCCGTTGTAAGCAGAACTATTTTAATGTTGTTAAACGTCTATAAAAAAAAATTCTTCATATGACAATGCCACCATTTTCCAGCAAAATAAGTTAGGGTTATAAGACATCATACAAAATCATTTGATTTTACGATTAAGCGAATTCTTTAATTGTGCGAGATTTTCTTCTTAATATGAACATTAGAAATACTTGGCAATATCAATGAACATGCAGTTCATATTTTGTGCATTCTAGGGATTTAATCACCTGACAGATTAACTATGAAGTTTGACGATATCTTGGTGAGGATTGGAGAGTTCGGATTTTATCAGAAGCGGCTCTACCTGATTCTCTGTATACCTGCTATAAACGTAGGCTGTTACATGATGATGTTAGTCTACACAATGCATACACCGGCACACAGGTGACAGACTTCTTCACTGTCAAGTCATTTCGATGATAAATTTATTTAATTTTTTGCATAGGCGTGCCGCGTCGGAACTGGGGGGAGGGGCTATGAGGGGGGGGGGGGTTGGCTTAACCCCCCACTCTCTTTGCAAATATATACATTATATAGGCATTGAGAATTTGGACTTACCTTTTTTGTTGTCTAACCCTCCCCCTTTCGATTTCGATTTGCTTCCGATGCCTATGCCTTGTGAATATATATTTTGTTGCTATTTATAGATGTAAAATTCCTGGATATGAAAATGATACATATCTTGAACAAAATGAAAAGCACAGACAACTGATAAATATAACCATTCCGCTCCCTGAAGATCCGCATTCTGTTCTGAGATATGACCGATGTCACGTCATCGGAAGAGAGAATAACGTCACGACTCTTAGGAAATGTAATGAATGGGTTTACGATACATCAGTGTTCGAAGAAACATTTTCATCAAAGGTTACCTTTAAAACAAAGATTATTTTGTAAATAAATTCTTTCGAATATTTTAATTTTTGGTTTCATCACAGAAAAGGTCTAAGATCACTTTTCTCTGTCTTAGGTGAATTTAGTTTGTGACGATGCTCTGAAGACCTCCCACGCCCAGATGATATTCTATTTCGGTGTGTTGGCCGGAGATGTGGGGTTTGGATGTCTTGCCGATGTGTACGTACATTATACAAATGTATATACTTATGCATCTATATATAAATTTGGGAAAAAAATACAAATTCTCGCTAAGAAATTACAAACTTTGAATATTTTCTGTTATTAGATTTGGTAGGAAGAAGGCCTTGGTAATTTCTGCAGTTCTTCAGGTAGTGTCTGCAGTCAGCGTGGCCTTTGTGTCCAATTATTACGTCTTTGTTGTTCTGAATTTCCTTGTGGGAGCTGCATGCCACGGCGTCTTTGTTCCAGCTAGTGTTTTAAGTAAGTATTTAAATGTTTTTGAAAAACTTAAATATTCAATAAACACATATAGAAATACATGTACCTTCGATTGCATATACATACATGTATATTATGCTGTTTGTTCCTCCTCTCAGAAGAATTTTGAAAAAAAAAAACGATTAACAGTTACTCTGCAGTTTATATCCAAGGTTTGCGTGTACATGACTTATCATTAAAAGTGGTTCACGTACTAAAGCTCTTCGATCCCTATTCTCTCTTCCCGTAAACTGGAGTTATCGTTCTTAACACGGGGAGTTTTAACGTTAACTTTAAACATGATTGTACTATGTTCGAGTAGAGACTGTTACTGAGAGTATAAGGGGCAGGAGAAAACTCGACAACTTATGACGTATTCACTCTGAATTAACCGAGTGTTAATAGAAGTGGAAAATGGACAGATCTTCTCTGACCTTCTTTTGAAACAGGGTATTTATCTGACCATGCAAATCCTAACTAAAATACCGGTATTTAAAAGCAGTCAAAAGAAACTTCGGGAGTATAGTACATATATAAATGTATTCGATAAGTGGTGAAATTTATTTAGAGAGGGTTACTTGTGAAAACTCCAGAAACTTACTTTGATAATGCATCTCATTTAATTCATTAATTAAACTAGAACATGCTCGAACAATTTCTGAAACAGGGCATGCTATTGACAAACAATTGAAGAAACAAGTATATTGACAGTCTCGTTTTATAAGTCAACATTTATCATTTTCATGGTCAATGATATTAACAACAAATAGTCGAATGCTTGCTGACGTTTTCCAACAAATTGTTATTTTATTACTTATACACTAATCAGTCTACTGATTTAACATTATTCTGATCATGACAAGGACCGTATTGCGGTCGTGGCCGATCGACAGGGGAGTTATATCCTCTGTAGCATCTGATCCCAGTGATGATTTTGTCAGAGGTTCATGTTTCCTTAGCTCCCATTTTGTATTTTGAGCGTGTATACATACTGAAACAAGATGTGTTTGTGAAAGACAGATGCCCCCGTATGGCAACATAGTAAAGATTAAACTTTTCTTAAATGCAAATTTAATTAATTGGTAACAAAAGTAGGGTATTCTCACTGGAAAACAATTTTGAAATTTGAAAATAAGCCAATGTTCAAGTTTTTTTTCAATAAGTACAAAAATCTCCAAGGTCAAGGTCAAAAGGTCAATGTAATTGGTATCAAATGAAAGCTCTGGCAACATAGAATACTTATGGAGAGTATTGAAGCCCTAGCCCTTACCGTTCAGAAGTTATGGCCAAGGCTAAATTTTTTTAAAAGTAGGTCAAACTCCAAGGTCAAGGTCATAGGGTCAAAGTTCTAACTTGTTATCAAATGAAAGGTCTTGTCACAAGAGTTCAATATGTAAAGTATGAAAGCAATAGCCCTAATTATTTAAAAGTTACGGTCAATGTTTGCATTTTTTAAAGTAGGCCAGTATCAAAGGTCAAGGGTCAAAATTCTTGGTATCCAATAAAGGGTCTTCTCTCACAAGGATTACTCATATGAAGTGTGAAAGCCCTATGCTCTATAACTCAAAAGTTATAGCCAAGGTTAAAGTTTTTTCACAAGTAAGGAAATCTACAAGGTCAAGGTCAAAGGGTCAAGGTTGTTGGTATCCAGTGAAAGGTCTTTCAACAAACATTACATATGTGAAGTATAAATGTCCTGGTGTCTACTGTTCAAAAGTAATGGTCAACTTTCAATTTCTTAAAAAGTAGGTCAAACTCCAAGGTCAAGGTCAAAGGGTCAAAGTTATTGTTATCAAATGAAAGGTTTTGTCATAAAAATCAAATATGTAAAGTATGAAAGCACTAGCCCTAATCTTTAAAAGTAAGGGTCAAGGTTTGCTTTTTTAAAGTAGGTCAATCTCAAAGGTCAAGGTCAAAGGGTCAAAGTTCTTGGTATCCAATAAAGGGTCTTTTTACAAGGATTCCATATATGAAGGGTGAAAGCCCTATCCCTTACTGTTCAAAAGATATGGCCAAGGTTAAAGTTTTTTCACAAGTACGGAAATCTACAAGGTCAAGGTCAAAGAGTCAAAGTTGTTGGTATCCAGTAAAAGGTCTTTCAACAAACATTACATATGTAAAGTATAAATGTCCTGGTATCTACTGTTCAAAAGATATAGCCAAAGTAAAATTTTAAAATTTTCATGTAAAAGTGGGTCAAACTCCAAGGTCAAGGTCAAGAGGTCAAATTTGGTGGTACCCAAAGAAAGGTCTTGTCACAAGGAATACACATGTGAAATATGAAAGTCATAGCTCCACTAAATCAAAAGTTATGGACAAGGTTAAAGTTTATGCGGAAAAACAGACAAACAGAGAGACAGACAGAGAGACAGAGAGACAGAGAGACAGACACGACAAAAACTATATACCCCCGAAACTTCGTTTACGGGGGCATAAAAAGTGTTCGAATTCTCCAGAATTTATCCATTTGGGTTCAGTAAGCGAACCTGTTGGAATCAGGAACCCTAGTTACAAAGTAATTAGTCTTGATATGGTGTTTTTGTTCTGTGTTGATAGAGAAATCGTCCCGAAAAGGCACTAGTCTGTAATGAATTTCAAGAATAGGCTTTCAACTGATACAAAGATAAATGTTTTCATTGCTTTCAGTTTACAGGATTTTCCTTCGATGAAGTTGACGGATAAACCGTTTAAAATACGATATAATTTTATTATTTAAATAAATTTCATTATAAAATCTCATATTTTAAATTCTTTAAATGCCGATAATAAATTTCAAGGCCAGTTTGATTTTGCTAGGTGTTGAGATGGTGGGTCCCTCTAAGAGGGTTATGACTGGGATCCCCATACACATGTTCTTTGCCGTGGGGCTGCTGTACCTGGCTGGGGTGGGGGCCCTAGTACGGCACTGGCAGCACCTCCAGCTGGCCGTGGCGGTACCCTGCGCTGTTTATGTCCTATATTGGTGGTAGGTTACTACAGACTGATGATCTGAAATAAAAAAAACAGCTCTCTATTTTGCCAAGAACTAGAAAAAAATAATTTAGTTGGAGGAGTTCATGCAACAAACTTTTTTCTAAGAACTCGATGTGAAACTGGGAAGTTTGTTTTCTGTATGATTTTTTATGAAAATTTATTTATTATTATTATTTATTACATATAAGAAAAATTTGCTGCATGAACTCCTCCAACTAAATTATTTTTTCTAGGTTTTGGATATGACTCCTCTTGTTCATGTTGACGTATTTCAGGGTGATACCGGAATCCCCGCGGTGGCTGCTGTCTCAGGGAAGAATGGAAGAAGCGGAAAAAATTGTACAACGTGTCGCTAAGGTGAATGGCGTTGACGTGAAGGGAAATCTCATTGTGGGAGAAAAAATTGAAATTCCGAAAGGAGAGAAGATTTGGCACGTGTTTAAACACAAAGTGTTGTTTGTTCGGGCAATGATATTGTTCGTTAATTGGTAAGAAAAAATATAATATGTAATGGGTGGCCTGCAATAAACCATAATCAATTAAACTTTAAAGTATATTTTGTTAATTTATGACAAAGTTTAAATAATCAATTTAATAATTTCATTATTTATAGATTTATGATTTTTCCAAAAATTAATAAATAAATAGATAATAAATTGTGTTTAACTGAAGGTTGCGATCATGTACATGTATATAGTTTGTCAATTGTTAATTTATCCTTCTTTACAGGATTGTTATTGCTATGGACTATTACGGAGTAACCATGCATGTCGGAAATATAGGAGGAAACTTCTACCTGAATCAGTTTATTCTAGCAATTGTCGAGTTTCCCGCAAAAATTGCCACCATGCTTTTGTTGAACAGAATAGGGAGGCAGAAGTTACACTGCTTGATAATGATCATAGGTGGCGCTGCTTTACTGTGTACCATATTTCCAGTTCTCTATGGCAAGGAAGGCAAGGCAACTGTAACCTATAATTACAATGTCTGCATGGTGAAAAAAGGAAGGGTTCTCTTTTAAAAAAATTATTAGTTTGTGAACTATTTAAACTTTACTGTCATGAATTCTATATAACAGTGCTTAACTGAGAACATATTTGTGCTTGAGAATTTCGAGAAAATTTAAGGTTCTTTAGAAGTATTTTTTGATATCAATACAGAGTTGAGTAGTCTGACACTGGTATTATCAATCATTGGTAAAATGGGATCCTCCGCGGCCTTTGGTGTAATCTACATCTACACGGCGGAACTCTACCCCACCGTGGTCCGTAATGGTGCTATGGGGACCAGTTCCTGTATCGCTCGGTTTGGCGGTATGGCTGCCCCTTATATAGCCTCAACAGTATGTATACATAACATATTTACCACAACAAACTCATATTCTAGACTTTGACAAAACTCTCGGGCGCGACTGACCTTTGTCGATAAAAACAAGCTAATTCGGAGAGTTGATGTCTCCCGCTGAAAGAAAAGAGAAAAGTATGTGCGGATCCTATAGGGGTGGGGGTCGAATGGGGGACACACTAAGAAGGGCAGCCGGATCCACAAGGAGTAATAGTATAACATTTTATTGCAGTACGGAAGAGCTTATTCTATGAAAGAACAATTATTTCTAAAACGACGAAAATTATTGACAAACAAGTTGATGAAGCAAAATATCAGTAGTCTCGTTTAAAGCCATCATAATTTGTAAGATCTATGATCGATACAATGAACTTGTCAGCAAATACAATTTATCATTGAGTCAAATAAAGTCTAACCGGTCGGCAGGAGATATTTACTCCTCCATGACACCTGATCCCACCTCTGATGTTTTGGAGGTCTGTGTTATGTTCCTATTTTGTAACTTTAATGGACTTTTGAGCTCGAGTGACGTTCGTAAACTCCACATACATGTACTATATTTGCCCGGAAATTAAAAGTTTACACCCTATAAGAAAATATGAGTTTACGAACTTGACTTTTGACCTATTTAGCTCAAAATACCAGTAAATAGGGATCTTCCTTTACTTTATTTAAGCCAAATGAAATTATGGTATAACATTTCATTGAAAAATGTCAAAGGCTTCTAGAGATATAGCGTAGAAACGAATGTGTTTAAACATTAGAATTATTGCCTTGTCCTTTGAAAATCGATCCAGACGTCTTCCTTATGCCATTGGGAATTGCTGTGTAAAATTTCATTGCAAAAGCTTTTCGCGGTATCTCTCGGAGACGAAAGTGTTAGATAGACAGAAATACATCTAGACAGAAAGACCAAGATAATATACCCATACTTTATGAAAGGGGGGCATGTTCCTTTGGCAAGCGCTCGGTACTTTGAAGTGAAAGTTGTTGGTCTTTCGGATAAAACTAGAAAAAAAAAGAGGCTCCGTATCAGTCGCTGGCACGATAAAGATCCCCCTCCCACCAACCCCCCCTTTATTGCTCCATTGCCCTGAATACATGCCAAGCAAAGCTTAGGTCAAAAGAGCTTTGTTCACTTTATGTATAAAGTGGCCTTGTAGATATGCAATTTACTGACTAACGCCCTATTTATAGGTATCATTTTCAACATCAAAATAAAGTTATTTTTTGTCTTAGCTGAATCGATCTTTGCTTTTCTAAAAAAAAGTGAGAAAAAAATCGAAGTGGTAAATTATATTGGTATATTTATTTTTATCACTAAATTGGATTTTCAAAAAATAGCGCTAGATACTCTTGTCATACGAACAAGTTTATACAACTGCACAGTATACATTTCAAGTCTGATGAAAGAGGGTTTGGCATTCCTTAAATTGACCACTGGTACTAAGATTTGATAAACCTTGAACTCTTTCGGCTTTTAACAAAATAAATGAATGAATAATTTTGGGTCTATTTCTATTCTACAATTTACATACTAGTATGTAATATATACATGTACGTATTGTGGATGCTTTCATTAAAGTTGTAAATAAAGAAGTCCTTTACTGACAGGGTGAGTATGTGAGTGGGAAGTTTGGCCAGGCCTTGCCGTTGGTGATATTTGGTGGTTCCTCCGTCACTGCGGGCTTTCTCACCCTATTCTTACCGGAAACACTACACAGGAAGTTACCGGAAACCATCCAAGATGGCGTCGAATTTGGAAAGTAAGTCATTCTAAAAGTTAATTAATTGTATTATTTGCTGGTCATCATTCCAAATTGATTTGAATTTGAAGGTGCTTGGGATCCTTTGATGTCAAAATAAGGATGCCGCATGGCATTCTTGTTAAATTGTATATATTATTCTTGCAGAAAGAAAGAGGAGTCGATCATGAATGACTATTCAAAAAAAATCAAAACACCACATCCAAGTTTGTCTTCCTTTGATAATACTGCATTTGAGTAAGTTGAAAGTACATGTATATATCTTATACGAGGGTTGTCCAAAAAGTCGTGGACATTTTGTTTGAATAAATGATTCATATATATCTATTGTATATCAAAATACATTTATTACATATGAAAAATCAAGTCAGAATAATTTAATTTTTATTGAAAAAACTTAATATTTTTATTAAATATCGGGGTCTTTAAAGGTCGAACATCGTGCGAACGGACAAGTCTGACGTTTTAAGCTAATTTCATTATATATAACGTCAAATATTTGTATTTTGAATTTTAACACATGTTCATTGACACACTCTACATTTCTTTTTTTTATGACGCCACCCTTCCAAGTGCTTGCAATAATATTTAAAAAAATATTTATTTTTTTCAAATTCAAAACAATGCACAAAAATATGCGAGCGTCATCAATATAAACAGTTTGTATGCACAAACTGCACAGCCCAGTCCGACGCTGCCACAGGCCTTCAGACCGCTTACAAAAAAAAGTTGAGGTGTTGAATTTTTTTTTTTTTTACACACAATTTTTTTTAAGCGATCCAAAGGCCTGTGGACGCTGCGCTGCATGCGTCATGAACAGAAATATCCATTTTCAGCAAATTACATGTGTATTTAAATTCTTGTAACGTGTTCAATTTTGTACACACTGTTGAAAATTCTTGTATATGAAACTCAAATCAATAAACTTAATATATTTCAATTATATAGAGTCATTTTAACAAATATTTTGTCCTTAACGTGTTTTCAATCGTATTAAAACATTTCTTTATTCGACGGACGGCCGACGTAGCTTTTTCTGTTGAGTATTGTCACATATTTGTTGGGTTTTTGTTTAAGTAATGTATTTTCACTATCTATATATAGTAAGCGATACTTGAGATATCAGAAAATGATAATAACTTCTTTATTTATATTACATATGATTTTCATAGGTTTTGATTTGTTTTATGTAAAAAGTGATAATTTGAATCCGAATACTTTGTGTCTAAGCTTATAGCATTTTAATTATTCCCCACGTAACTACATGTATTTGCGTGAGGTATAATGATTTTGACCCGTCCGTCAGAGTGTCAGTCAGTCAGTCCTTTTTTTTGTCAGCGCAACTCCTCATAAACTGCTGCACAGAATTTAGTCAAACTTTGCAGGTATTTAGGACACAATTTGTAGATGTGCATGTTACCAGGAAATTCCGATTCCATTATTTTTTCCGGGAATTTCCGCACTTTTTAACTTAGGCATTTGGCCATACCTTGAATATAGAGATGAACAGTTTGTCAGCGCAACTCCTCATAAACCACTGCACAGAATTTCGTCAAACTTTACAGATATTTAGGACTCAATGTGTAGATGTGCATATTACCAAGAAATTCCGATTCCATTATTTTTTCTGAGAGTTTCCACACTTTTCAACTTAGATTTTTGGCCATACCTTAAATAGAGATGAACATTTTGTCAGCGCAACTCATCATAAACCGCTGCACAGATTTTCATCAAACTTTGCAGATATTTAGGACGCAATTTGTAGATGTGCATAATACCGAGAAATTTAGATTCTTTCATTTTTTCCGGGAATTTTAGCACTTTGAGTTTTCGGGGAACGCGGGGTTTGTGAGCGTGCTCACTTTTTCTTTCATTTTGGTCGGTGCGCACTATTCGCGATCTTTAAAGACCCTGAATTTTCACAAAAAATATTAAGTTCAATCAATAAAAATTAAATCATTCTGACTTAGAAGCGGTTTTCATGTGTATAAGTATCTTTTACTACAAGTATTTTATTATATCGCACGGGGCGTAAAACAACAAACTGTCAATCGTCTGTTCGCAAGGATGTATATAATACTAGTATTACTAGTATTTTCTTAAAATAGCTGCCAGTAACTTTGATTGATCACTCATTGCTATACAATGTAGCATACAGAAAACAGATATCCCCAAATTCAACATGTAACAAAGTAATTTTACAGGCCCTAAAACAGGCCCTATACGAGCCATTTTTGAAAGACTTTTTAAAAATGTGAAATCAAATTAACTAAATGACAAATGCTTTTAACATTGTTCTTCTAATTTAAAAAATACAATATAGTCACGTTTTTTTTTTTTTTTTTTTTTTTTTTTTTTTACAATTCTAATATTTATATGCCACCCTCTATTTGAAGAACGGAGGAGATAGAAGCAAAATTGCTTTGCTGCTGTCTATCGGTAGGTCAGTCTGTCGGTCCACCATCAATTTTCGTTCATTTTTTGCGAAGAGGTTGCACTTATTAAAAAAAAAAATCAATATCCAGGTTTATCATAAAAATACGTAGATCATATTCTATTTTTGATACGATGGAGGTATTTTGAACAGAGTGATACATGTACCTCCAACTTAAAAAAAAAGTCCAATTATTTAGGGGGATGTGGGCATATGTTTTACAAACATCTCTTATTTCAATGAACGATTTTCAGTCTTCGTAAATTTATTTGAAAATGCACACTTTATATTTTATATCTGCTTTTTCTATTTCTATATTTCAGGGGAACTACGTTGTAACAAAGAAGAGGTGTAGTGAATACAATACTTCATCCTTATATAACATTATAGCATAATACATTTAAATATTATAATTTGCAATTAATCTATGTCTTATACATATAATTACATCCATATTCATGATATTATACACCTATTTACTGGCTATGAGGACAATAGCAAGTTTATCGTCCCCCAAGACAGCAAACTATTTCCCGAGGCGCAGCCGAGGGAAATAGTTTGCTGTCGAGGGGGACGATAAACTTGCTATTGTCCGAATAGTCAGTAAATAGGTGTTTTATTATACCGATGCTGACTTTACTTTTGTTACGTCATAATATATACGTCACAATCCATGTAAAATCAGAAGTTTTCAGAGATGAAAAGCGAGGGAAATCGAATGCTGCCGTTGAATAGTTTAAGAACTATTCACCATTGGCAAATAGCACAAAAACTATTTCACGGTAGAGACTGTTTAGAAAAAATAGCATGTTTATTCGTTTTATTTTTTATAGAAAAAATAAACAGAGGTGTAATAATTGTATATATTTTTGTAAATATCTTTTCTAATAAATACTAGTATAAAATACACGAGACAAAATTGCTAACCCACTACTTCATCCTCATTTAATTGATTGATTGTATATTGTTGAACGTCCCTCTCCAGAATATTTCACTGATATGGAGACGTCACCATTGCCGGTGAAGGGCTGCAAATTTAGGCCTATGCTCGGCACTTACGGCCTTTGAGCAGTGAGGGATCTTTATCGTGCCACACCTGCTGTGACACGGGGCCTCGGTTTATACGGTCTCATCCGAAGGACCGCCCCATTTAGTCGCCTTTTACGACAAGCAAAGGGGGGGGGGGGGGGTACTGAGGACCTATTCTAACCCGGACCTCCACGGGGCAATTTGTGAATAGAAGATTTGTTTGATCGGTATTATACATTTATTGACTGAGTTCGAGGGCAACATGCGTTTTGTCGGACCCAAGAACCAAACTGGGTCAACCGGAAGATGGGAGAATTTGTTATGGAAACTATGGCATCGGATAATTACTAGGCGATACGATAGTCAATGACAGTTTGTCGTTAGATTTATAACCTTCTGTGGTAACCTCAACAGACCACCGTAAGTGTCCAAGAATTGCATATCTGTATCTGAAACAAGATGTGTTTGTGAAACACTGATGCCCTCGTATGGCAACATAGCAAACGTAAAGTTTTCTTAAATGCAAATTTGAATAATTGTTACCAAAAGTAGGGTATTCTCACTGAAAAACGATTTGAAATTTGAAAGTAAACTAATGTTTAAGTTGTTTCAATAAGTATATGATATAAAAATTTCCAAGGTCAAGGTAAGAAGGTCAAGGTTATTGTATTCAATGAAAAATCTTGTCACATAGAATACTTATGTAGAGTACGGAAGTCCTAGTCCTTACCGTTCAAAAGTTATGACCAAGGTTGTTTTTTTTAAAGTAGGTCAAATTCCAAGGTCTAGGGTCAAAGTTCTCGTTATCAAATGAAAGGTCTTGTCACAAGAACTAAATATGTAAAGTATGAAATCACTATCCCCAACCCTTTAAAAGTTATGGTCAAGGTTTGCTTTATAGCTCACCTCAACGAAGTTGGGGGAGCCTATATAATACCCTCGGCGTCCTAAGTATTTTGGAGCATTTATCGTTGCCCTATATTGATTAGACATGCATGGAAGATGCTTCTGGTGTGTTTCATTGTAACAAAGTTTCAGATGCTGCAATTTCAGCAAAGGAATGACCAGGTTAATGTTTTTGGAGCAGGTTAACATTTTTGGTACAGTTTTTAGTGTAGGTCTCATTTCCTTGGAACTATAAGCCATATGTTGACCAAACTTGCATGGATGATACAGTCACCTAAGGATGTACACTACCGAGCTTGCTTTGGATGCTGAATCTGACCAACATTTTACGGTTGAGTAAACAGGTTAACGTATTTGGTGCAAGTCTCATTTCCAAGTACTGAGTAACTATAAGCCCTTTGTTGACCAAACTTGCAGGCATGATACATCTAAGGATGCACACTACCAGGTTTGCTTTGGATGCTGAATCTGACCTACATTTTCTGGTTGAGTGAACAGGTTAAAGTTTTTGGTGCAGGTTTCATTTCCAAGATGCGATGAGTATTATAATGACCAAACTTGCATGGATGATACACCTAAGGATGCATACTACCAGACTTACTTTGGATGCTGTATCTGACCTACATTTTCTGGATGAATGAACAGCTTAAAGTTTTTGGTGCAGGTTTCATTTCCAAGTAACTATAAGCCCTATGTTGACCAAACTTGCATGGATGATACATTTCAGGATGTACACTACCGGGCTTGCTCCAGATGCTGAATTCGACATACATTTTTCAGATAATGGATCAGGTAAAAGTCATGGGTGCAGGTTTATTACCAAAAAACTATAAGGCTTATATAACAATGTATAAACCAAACTTGCACAAATGATATGCATCAAGGGATGAAAACTCAAATTTGCTTCAGATGCTGGATTTTAATAACATTTTCATGAAAAAGAACTAGTTTAAAGTTTTTATATAGGTCTTTTCCAAAGTATCGGATGAAAGGTGCATAAATATTTTCATTTTGGGATGTTCACTTATTGGTGATTAATTGTGTGACTTTGCCTTACTTATATAAAGACAACATTCGTTGAGGTGAGCTCTGTAATCTCTGATTACCTATGTTTTAATGTAGGTCAAAGGGTCAAAGTTATTGGTATCCGATGAAGGGTCTTCTCACAAGGATTACATATATGAAGTATGAAAGCCTTATCCCTTACAGTACAAAAGTGTTGGCCAAGGTTAAAGTTTTTCACAAGTGCGAAAATCTCCAAGGTCAAGGTTGTTACATGTAGTATCATTCAACAAAGAATACAGATGTGAAGTATAAATGTCCTTGTATCTACTATTCAAAACATATCACCAAAGTAAAAGTTTAAAATGTTCATGTAAAATTGGGTCTAACTCCAAGGTCAAAAGGTCAAATTTGATGGTACCCAAAGAAAGATTTTGTCACAAGGAATACACATGGAAAATACTAAAGTCATGGCTCCACTAAACCAAAAGTTATGGGCAAGGTTAATGTGATTGCTTCGTTGAGTTTGACCTACTTTAAAAAAGCAAACCTTGACATAACTTTTTAAGGGTTAAGGCTGGTGCTTTCATACTTTACATATTTAATTCTCGTGACAAGACCTTTCATTTGATAACAAGAACTTTGGCATTGATCTTGGAGTTTGACCTACTTTAAAAAAAAAAAACTTTGGCCATAACTTCTGAGCGGTTAGGGCTAGGGCTTTCATATTCTACATATGTATCTATGTGGCAAGACCTTTCATTGGATACATATTACCTTGAACTTTTGACCTTGGTGATTTTTGTACCAGGTACTTAATATTGAAAAAAAAACTTTAACATTGGCCTACTTTCAAATTTCACAATTGTTTTCCAGTGAAAATATCCTACTTTTGGTACCAATTAATTAAATTTGCACTTTAGAAAAGTTTATCTTTTGCTATGTTGTTGGCCTTTCCATTGACCTTGATCTCTTTTTTCTTAAATTAGTGTCTAGCTCAGTTTTACACACACTATTAAAGATGTTTTTATCAAACTTCACAAGTTGATACATACTGATGAGAACTACTTGTATTCAACTGCATCAGGACATTGTTTTTGACCTTGACTGTACTACATGTAGCTTTCTTTAATTAGTGTTAAGATAAGTTTTAAAGATACCAGTCAAGATAGTATTATCAAACTTCATATGCTGATACATGATGAAGAGAGCTATTCAACTGCTTCACCATTTTGGACCTCAGTCTTTCCTTTGACCTTGACCACTTTTTTCTTGAATAATTGTTTAGCTCAGTTTCTAAGAAATTATCCAAGATATTTTAACCCCTATTCAACTGCATCACCTTTTTTTACCTTGACCTTTCTTTTGACCATTTACCTTCCTTTTCCTAATCAGTGTTAAATTTCACATGCAGATACATACTGATGTAAGCTCAACTGTACCAACATTTTAGCTTTGACCTTTCATTTGACCTTGACCTCACTTTCATCAAATATTATTTAAGTCAGTTTTAAAGAGACCATTTATAATATTTTTTCAACTTCATAAGCTGATACATACTGATGAGTGCTTTTCAACTGCATTGGCAATGTTTGACTTGACCTTGGCATTTCCTTTTACTTTGACTTCACTTTACAGAAATTGGTGTCAAACTTTATATTCTAATACATAATTATTCAACTGCATCACTATTCACGATATCCTGATCAAATTTTTCTAGTTCCTCCTAAATATAAATACATATAGGCAGGTGAAACATTTCTAAAAAGGTTGTACAGAATTTAAATTCATAGATACACCATGTACACCACAGAATTGGGAAAATGTCCAAATAATTCATGGTATCCGATCCATTATGATAGCCTATGTTATAATTGCCGGAGATTCAATGAATTTGAATGCATAACAGATATATACTGGCTTAATACTCAGTAGTTGGTAGAAATAATCTTCATTTTTTAGTCTCAATATGTCATAGCAGAATGTGTCCTATTTTTTACCTTGACCAGTCTTTGAAGAGTTACCCTCCTTTGCTTTTAATCAACAAAATGTATTTTCAAAAAATCTATCTGATGAAAAATGATTTTTTTAATCTTTACTATTCTTATTTTACCTTTACATGAAAGAATGTTCATAAAGCAATACTTCATAAGATGTTATACATGAGGTTAACAATTTGAAAATAAAAACAAATACACAAGAACATACAAGAAAAAAAAGAAAATCAAGATAAAATTTATTTTGATGAAATTCAAATCTTTCTGTTCTCTTTATGATGGTAATAAAAAGTTAATTTTCTTATCCATATGAAATAGTATCATTATGATTCAGTATAAAAGGTTTTCTTCAGGAGTCTTAAATGATAAAATAGAACAAGAGGCCCAGGGACCACAGCGCTCACCTGAGCACATCGGGCTTGAATTTATCCCCCCCCCCCCTCCAGGCGTTCATCATTTGAACAAATTAGAATCTACACTACCAGAGGATGATTCCATATAAAAACATGTATCACTAATCATAGCTTTGAAGAACTTGAAAAGAAGATTTTAAAAGGTTTCCCTATATATCCCTATATAAAACTTGGGTCAGCCATTTTGGCCCCACCCTAGCCCCGGGGGTCATGATTTGAACAAACTTGAATCTACACTACCTGAGGATGATTCCACATGAGTTTCATCTTTCCTGGCCCAGTGGTTCTGGAGAAGAAGATTTTTAAAGATTTTTCCTATATATTCCTATGTAAAACAAGGCTCGGCCATTTTGGCCCCACACTCGCCCCGGGGG